GGAATGCCGGACACCAGTACCTTAAATACTCCGCAACCCGCAGCAGCGAACCCGGGATTGGATATATTTTCGAACTCTAGTCAGAACGATAATGATCTCTTAGGGGGTTTTGGTGTTTTTACCCAGGAAGCGAAAAACACCGCGGCGACGGTCAACGATCCTGCTCCGAATGACTTGTTGTTCGGACAGGATCGGTCAGCCAGAAAAGAGAACAGTAGTAATAATCTAAATATGAACGACTTGTTCTTCAATCAGGCTCAGTCCAACGTCAAGCAGGAAGTCACGGACTTCTTGTTCGATCCTCTCGCTGGGAACACCGCGAACAATCTTCTGGGAGGCATGCAGAACTCCAAGTCTAACCCCATAAAGTCTCCAAACGTCGAGGAGAGCTTCCCACGGAACTCCAGTGTTCCAAACTTCGCGGCCCCGAGCAAAGATACGTTCGCCAATCTTGCCAGTTCCTTGGGGGCTGGTCTGACCTCCAGTTGGAACGGTACACCGAGGAACTCGAATACACCTCAATCCGCTAGTCCAGCCCCGGCTAGCACGCCGATTCACTCCAGCCCTAGCACGCACAAATCGAATGCAACCAGCGAACCAAGCACCGTGAACGCGGACTGCGGTGCGCCTGGCAATAACAAGTCGGCCAAATCCAGCGGAGACGCTTTCGAGGATCTGCTTGGTAGCCAAGGATACAACTTCTTTAGCTCGAGGAAAGCGGAGAAAGACAGTCCCAAGACAATAAATCAGATGAGAAAGGTGGAAGCTGCCAAAACAATGGATCCTGATCGGATGAAAATAGCCGAGTGGACGGATGGTAAAAAGGGCAATTTGCGCGCGCTTCTTTGCTCCTTGCACACCGTTTTGTGGCCAGAGGCTGAAAGATGGCAACGATGTGAAATGCATCAGCTGGTAACCTCTGCGGATGTTAAGAAAGCGTACAGGAAAGCTTGCTTGGCTGTGCATCCTGATAAGGTAATACTGGTTGCATTAAATGGAATTTAATTTCAGTCTGAATGATGATGTTTCTCTGTTTGTGGTTTCAGCAAGCGGGAACACCCAACGAGAATATAGCGAAACTGATTTTTATGGAACTGAATAACTCCTGGAGCGTGTTCGAGAACGACGCGTCGCAGCAGAATCTATTTAGTTAATTCCGATGACTGTTACCTGTTACAGAAAATAAAATCTATGTCCACGATTATGAAGGTAGTTCCTAGCGGAAAAGAACCCGAGAAACATTATGTTTATTAATTGTAAGACAACTCCCGTGTTACATTCCAGCTAATGTTGTCTTAGCTGTAGCGACGATGAAAAAGAAAACGTTTAACGGATTTATAATAGCGAAGGCAAGGTTCAATTCAAAGCTGCATTTTGAATGGCTACTGTGTATACATGCATCTTTATCATATAAAGCCTTGTAAAATCACTTACTCTATTAAGCGTACTGCGGCATAAACATATATGTATATAAGGCATATGTAAATTAAGGAAGATTCCAAATATATATAAACATATTTTCCGGCCAAATCGTTTAAGCCCTTTCACGTTCCACAATTACCTTTACTAGAAATTAACCCAATGTAAGTTCAAGGTTTAGATGTATTGAACATTATTTGAATTTAACCGTTAACTCCATTTTACTATAATTAGACCGCAGAGTTTACTACATGTCAATATAATAGGAATAATTTTATTTCAGCACTCGAAGCAGTGAAATTCTTAACGAAATAAATAATTGTTCATTTCTGAGAGAAATTTATTCGGAAAAAACACGAAATTACGTAAACATCCGCAATCTGTTTGGGGAAAACTGAAAGTCGAAAAGTGGCGGCAAGAGGCACGCATAACCCCACATATATGTATACACGTAGAGACATGGTGTCTGCGCGAATAGTGGCTGTGGGGTGAAATTTTAAGGGAGGGGCTGCTCGGAAATGGCTGTTGTACACGGGGTAGGACGTCCAGAGGAGAGCAACTGACGACGGTTCGTCCCTGTCTTCCACATTGACCAATTGACATTATTTTACGACAATTGATACGGTTACCTAATCGATAGCTATTATGTGGCGGTTAAGACGCAATCCTCGGGCTCTCCTGCGCCCACCCCCAGATCTGCGGCATACGAATCGCCTTGGTAAAAGGTAAACTCTCTCTTTTCATGTATTCTTCGCGTTTTAGTGAAATGAATCTTTCGTTCGAGAATTCGTCCGATTACGTGCAAACGCAATACACACGCGTGTGGAAAACTGTCGTGAGAACAATGTAAAGGAAAAGTGAACCGTTGGAAACGGATAATCGCGACCGAAAGTATGTGAAAAAAAAAAGCTGTCTCCACCGTAGACACGATTCCTTTTTTCGCTTGACCAAAACGTTTCACGATGGTGCCTGTTTATATGAAATTACTGAAGAAATGTGATTGATTTACAAGAATGCGACGGTGATTTGTAACATGTTCAGTAATAACAATCACTGATGCATATAGTTGTATATATGTGTATATATATGTATATATATATATATACATATCTATATATATATATATATATGCATAGTTACTCATTGTACATATATATGTATATACATTGCATTTACTTGACAACATAGATTTTACTCTTGCTTTACTTGTTCTTATAGATTAGAACCCTACATAGATGATGTGAGTCAGAAAAGCTAAGTGAACAAGGAAGTGTAGAAAGCCCGAAGATGTTTAGCTCCAGTTGGAAAGTAGCATTTCTCCTCTCGCTGGGAATTTCATTCTGGTCGATAGCCAACTGCACAACAAATATCACCAGATCTGCAAGAGCTATCAGTGGAAGACTACGCTCGCCTTACTCATCATGGCGCATCGTGCTATGTTTGACACAGTCTCAGAGTTCATTCAAGACAGACATTCAAACATCATGGGACGATGCAAGACTGAAATCGTCTCACGCAGACATGAATGTGTCCTACATAGAGGCTCCACCAGCAACAGATGCGCATTCCTATCCTCTGTCGTTACTGAATAAATTCTGTACTGAAATTAAAGGTGGAAAGACAGTACTGAGCCTGATCATCGGGGGAGGATCAGCAGCTAGGTTTCTCATGACAGCTGCAGCTGCTTTGAATCTTCCAGCTTTATGGCTACCATTTACACACGAAGACTTTCTACGGCAGGTCTGTTCGAATTTATTTCTATTTTCTATGGAAATTTTCATTTAATCGGTCAAATATTCTTACAGGGGAACCTTGGACAATTTGAGAGTCGCATAGGCTCTAGTACAAAAGAAGTGGGAGCAGCTGCTGCTGCCTTGATGCACAGAGCAAACTGGCATGCGTTCACTCTTCTCATAGATACCACGTTACTTCCAGTGACTCATCTATTGCAATCGAATCTGCCAACTCTGACACCCAGAACGATCATCCATCTTCCAACCAACGACAAGACCCTGAGAATGAGACTGAGACGTGTGGCAGAGGAAGGAGGCAGTGGAGGTGTTATAGTGATGGGTTGCGATCTGAGCAACGCTCGAAGGATACTCGCTGCAGCTAGTAAATTCGAGATGCTTGCCGGAAGATTTCTGTGGCTTTGGTTGGACCTCAAAGCAGAATTGAGACCCAACGAACCGAACATTATCAGCTCACACATTTTACACAGCTCAAGAGCAGCGATTGCAACGAATCCAGAGAATCCTGTGCCAGGAGAGATCGTCAACAGAAACACGAATCTCGTAGCCGAGAGCCAATTGACAATGAACGTTTTACCGAGTTTATTAAACGATATACATCGACTGCAGGAGTACAGATGGCAGAACGGTCATACTATGTCCAAACGAGAAGACAGGGGCTTCAATTTCGACGACGACGAGGAGTTCGTAACGACCGACAAAGAACTGAACTCGAAGGACTTCATGCCGGTCGGTATGCTCGCGCTGAGACCATCCGGTATAAAGTTAATGGACGGCGACACAACAATATTATCTAGAATGATAAGGGAGACTTCACAGGCGTTGGACGAGACGTTCCTGGAAGTGAAGTCCAAACTGAGTCGTTTACGGGATCTGCAGCTAGAAGACAACTTCGTACCAGATTGCCTTCCCGATAGCAGAGCCAAGTTTCTAAATAGCGAAGTAAGGAGAAACGTTTCCAAGACATTGACACAGAAACTTCGAAGATCCATGGGCCAGCTGTCCAAGGACAAAGCAAAGTTCCAGTTACTAAACCTGCAGGCTGTAAGATTCTCTGGGAACAAGACTCAACTGAGGTACGCACAGTCTCTTTCTTATAATCCAATTAACAAACATACAGGTAACCTAACTTCAATCTCTTGATCTAAAAGGTGGACCAAAGTGGGAACTGTCAAAGGTGGAAAAGAGGTTCACCTAGAGACAATAATTTGGCCAGGCGGTGGAATAGTACCAGCCTATCTGGAACAGGGTGGTGAAAAGATAGGCATGCCCATGTACCGTATAGTGACAGCACTCGCGTCACCCTTCACGATGGTAACGAACCTGCAAGAAGGTCTCTGTCTCCGAGGAATATTCTGCCGTCAAGAAGACACTCTGATGTGTTGCTACGGTCTGAGTATGGACCTGATAGCTCTGGTGTCCCGTGAATTAGGGTTCCGTTATGATTTATATCTAGTGAAGGACGGCTTGTTTGGAAAGAGGAACGGTCGTAGCGGCACGTGGAACGGTATAATGGGGGAGCTAGTCTCTGGTAGAGCCCAATTGGCGTTCGCACCTCTAAGTGTATCCGCTCACAGAGCTGAAATTGTAGACTTCACCACGCCGTACTTCTTCAGCGGAGTAAGCTTCCTGACGGCGCCAAAGCGTAAATCCGAGATATCGTTGTTCGCGTTTCTCTTTCCGTTCAGCACCGAACTGTGGATCGCGGTGTTCACATCTTTGAACTTCACCGCGATCGCGGTGGCGTTGTACGAATGGTTCAGCCCGTTCGGTCTGAACCCGTGGGGCAGACAACGAAGCAAAAACTTCTCGATCGCGTCAGCTTTGTGGGTGATGTGGGGTCTCCTCTGTGGTCATCTGGTCGCTTTCAAAGCGCCGAAATCCTGGCCTAATAAATTTCTAATCAACATTTGGGGTGGTTTCTCGGTGATATTCGTCGCCTCGTACACGGCCAACATAGCTGCCCTGATCGCTGGCCGATTCTTCGATCCGGCGGTGATCAACTATCACGATAAAAGCGTGAGTATCATTGACAACCGAGTTCTATCCGCTACCATAGACGAGGTATAGGAGTAAACAGTTCCAATGTATTTTTTCGGCCCAATTTTCTGGGGCTTCATTTCCATTTTAAGGTCATTACCCACCGCAGATTCACCGTTCTGGTAACGTAGAGGTCGCTAAAATTACAGGCTTTTTAAGGCGTAGGTTTAGTGGGGCCAACAAGATGAAAAGTCTATTCTTATACCTCGTCTGTGGTACCCCTAAACTCGGCTTCGCTAGGTGAAAAAAAAGAAGAGCCTCTAACTACTTGGTACCAGGAATTACTGAAATTTATGCCAAATTAACATTCGGTTTAACATTAATTTCAGTACTTGAAATAAATTTACCAAGTGGTAGGAGCCTTTTTTCCTTGTGCCACTTTTTCCCCTAGCGGAAGCTGAGTCTGCTCATGAGGGTACAGATAAATTGATTGATTTTCCGTTGCAGTTACTGTTGCAAAAGGTTGGCGCACCGAGGGCATCCGCGGCCGAGTACTATGTACAAAAAGCGAACCCGGAATTGTGGTCCCACATGTCCCGATACTCATTGTCGAACGTCGCCGAGGGCGTGGAAAAATTGCGAAACGGTAGCTTGGATATTCTTATAGCAGATACTCCTATTTTAGACTATTACCGGGCAACAGACGACGGCTGCCGTTTGCAAAAGATCGGGGACACGATCAACGAGGACACGTACGCGGTTGCCCTCGCCAAGGGGCACCCATTGAAAGAGAGTATATCGAAAGTACTGGCGAATTACACGAGCACAGGGTTGCTGGACATTTTGCAAGAGAAATGGTAAAGTACACGGCAACGGACCCTTTTCGATGATCCGTTCAAACTAGAGGTTCCGACTATTGATAAAGTTATTGATGAATTTTAACAATTTATCGAAATGTAATCGATATAGCGTTGAGTATCAATGAGATATCGATAATCAATAGTCGTACCTCTAGCTCAAACTTCAATTTACAATATGCTTTTACTTTGCAGGTACGGTGGGTTGCCGTGTATCAGGGGTAGAGGAGGTATAGACGTGGGTTTCGAGCACGAGCAAGGAGGTCAACCGAGACCTCTGGGCGTGGCCTCCGTGGCCGGTGTGTTTTGTCTGCTCGGGATGGGTGTGGTACTTGGAACAATTATATTGGCGGGAGAACACTTGTTCTACAAGTACACCCTGCCAAGACTGAGACGCAGACCGGAGGACTCGATATGGCGTAGCCGTAACGTGATGTTCTTCTCCCAGAAGCTGTACAGGTTCATCAACTGCGTGGAACTGGTGTCACCTCACCACGCCGCGCGGGAGCTTGTCCACACGGTCAGGCAAGGGCAGATCGCGTCACTGTTCCAAAAGAGCGTCAAGCGAGTAAGTGCCCCCACGTTTTCCCACCCAGCCACCCCTCTCTCGACAAATATCTACAAGGAGACCATGTTCCAGAAGGAACACGAACAGCGTCAGAGACGCAAGAGTAAGGCTCAGTTCTTCGAGATGATACAGGAGATCCGAAGGTAACTCTATCCCGTTAAAATTGTGCACAGAGTTACCGACCGAGCGAATGATTGAGACTAATCTTACCGACACCCCGTTTTCTGTACAGAGTCCAGCAAGAGGAGAAGATCGAAACGGTGCCCGAGGAGCAACCGGGAGTATTAACAGTGAAAAAGGAGGAGAAAGCGCCGAAAGGAAGGGAGAGGAGTCGAAGCAAGAGTCCTCTGATGCCACGGAGCCCGAAGAGGTCCGAGAAGTGCAGAAGTTCGACCAATCTGTCGGGCTCCCGACTGGGTCTGTCTCCGGTCAGTTCGGAGACGCCGATGAAACCCAGAGAGTTTACTCTGAGCAGTACAAATTTAAGAGCGAGAAGTCCTCTGGAGACGGTCGGTCGACGATTGAGCCACGGCGATGGTGGTTCGCCGCCCCCGCGTCTGGGCTCCCACTTCGGCGGTAGTGCGACATTAAGACCGTTGGCTCCGACCAGGAGCGACTCTGTGAGCACCACAGCTGCTAGCAAGGGTGAACATCCCGGTGGCGGGACGTCAACGACACCAAGGTACTCTAGGAGTCCCGCGAAACGGGGACAATCATTCCCGGTGTTTGCCACGTTGAGGCCACCGCATTCGGCGGGCCATCATCATCATCATCAGATGTCCAAGAGTCCGTTGCTCTCCCCGAACAACGAGCTGACCTCAGCCATCGGCCGGAAGCTGTCACGCGAATGGGGCTCCGGCACCATAGATGTCACCAGGTCCTCAGAGGCGGTCAGCGGTGGCGCATCCACCTACACATTGAACCAGGAGATGACGCTGTCGTTGGAGCGTCCGTCCCACGAGAAGAAAAACATCCAGGACGACACGTTGCCGATCAAGAAACCTATACGTCGCGCACGCAGCCACGAGAACCGAGACACCAGCAAACTAATGGCCGATCTACCCTCGCCAAGGCTGACCGTCCAGCCGGTGGTGGGCGGCCGATCGGTAAGCGAACGAACGAAAAAACAGCTGGAGTCCGAGCTGAAAGCGATTTTAACCGCCAGGGCGCATCATCGCGACCTGCATCCCCCTTGATAGACAGACGTGCCGTCGCTTTGAGTGTTCTTGAAAGCATCGGCCGCTTCGGGGATGATCGTTGCCTCTGAGGGGCTTTGATTTAAGCAATATCAGATTTATAGGTCAATTTGTAGAGGAATCAGACAATTTATGCGAAAACAAAAAACGGCAAAAAAAATGTTTTAAAGAACATACATACACTCATGGGGGGTCATGTAATGACAACAGAAAGGAGATTCACACAAGGGGGGAGAGGGGAATCTCTTTGTCTGTTCCTGTTGTTGCGTACATTGATAAATTATAACGATTAGGATAAAACAAAAAATGTTGGTTAAGAAGAAAACGGAAAAAAAAGGCGCTGTAAACTTTATAGTAGAGATGTCTCTTTAACGAGTAGCGGAATACTTGGAACACCACGAGTACTAAAATATTTTCTTGTTGGCATTTTAACTCTACATCCAACCGTCAGCCTGGGTGAGTCTCTCTTCATTGTACAATACGATACAACTGTAGGTAAACAATCTCGCGTGTGCACTGCCGTATTTCTCAACTTTCTTTCCGGTCATTCGTTTCACACACACATGCACCCGTTCTTTTTTTTAGTTCCACCAGGAATCCAATGATCCTGATCGTATCGACTCCTGTACACTTGTGATCATCCTGAGCCGCCGTATTATAGGTTTATCACCGGCAGATTTCAGGACTACTTTTTATTCATGAACACACACGGAGGCATACCCTGAAAACAAAGAAGAAGTTGAGGAAGAAGTACTTGCTGAATTGGATCGCGCCCATACTGCCACTTTACTGTTAGTGATTCTCGCGGACATGAGAGAGACTCGCTGAAACAGGTTTACGGCGTAGAATGACCACTTATTTGCATACAAAGATATAAGTCGCCCATATCGCCCCAAATTTTCTGAGGGTTGAACACGCGACGAAGGAAAGTTTTAACCGATCGTGTCACTCTTTTGTACCGATCGCGGGGGGAAGTCTCGCGATCAGCAAACACCGTCGCGATTTCATTGTTCATAACTTCATCGCCACTGTTCCAAAATGGAGGAAAGTAATAGGGGAGGAGACAACGATCCTGGGATCGTGTGTGTTTGCTGTATCCGTAGAGAAACGTATATTATATCCTTGGTCGGTTTGTTAGACTGATAAGACGAGTGACGACTTTGTCCCAGGAATTGCATTCGCGCGCGCGCGTGCGAAACATCGTCGGAATTGAAGAAGGGAAGAGGAAACAGTAGATATTGTCGGATTGATGTTCCGTGTCCCGTTTTCTGTTTCTCCTCCGACGAGGGGACGTGGTCCCCCCACAAGAGGACGTGGTTCTCTCAGGAGGAAGCGTGGTCCTCCCACAAGAGAACGTGGTCCTCCTCGTTTATCGCTCGTCCCGACGAGGGTGATTCCCTGAAAGTCTCTCTCACTCTCTCGTTTGATCCTGGGCTATCCCAATCCTAGAACTGTGTTAGCGTGAATGTGGTGGGAACTAAATTATAATTTTAAATGGATTCATATGAGCGAGGCCTTAGGAATTAGTCGATCCGCCCAAAATTCTTTACTTGAATAGCGTTTAACCGTAACTCTGAGCAAACTTCTCTATATTACTATTGCGCGTAGAATGTAGGCGTTTAGTTTCCATAGTTTCACGGTAGACTATTGTATTTGGGCTTGTCCCGATGGTATTCCTCAAAGTGTCTCTCGACGACGACGAGTAGGCTCTCCCGGTGAATGTACGCTCGCGTGACGATCAATCTCTGTCTGTCCAACGAGGCGACGGATTAAATGTTTTCTCTCGAAATTGAGTTCCCGTTCTGCTGTGTAATTCTACAGACACGAAAACGTGACTGTTACCGATGAAAGTGTCCTGAATATAATTGCACTCTGCTCGTTGATTTTTCTCTTTTTTGGCATTCCAATCCTCGTGTATGTGTATACGAGATTTTTTTTGTTATCTGACGGATCTGTTGAAAGTATAACATCCTAATTGCGCATTGATAAACAAGCAGCGTGGCTCATCAATTACCTGGTATTTTTGATTCGTTATCTTGTTGATGTAGAGCACGTTGGCTTGCTTGCTTGCTTGATTCCGTTCGATTGTGTTGCAATTGATTCAGGAGGTAATCAAAATACAAATATAGGGGGCCAGTTTAGTGTCACCCGAGCCTAAATAAATCAAAGATAGACTTATTATATTACTTGTAGCCGTAATTTTTTGATAAGTGGGTTCCGCCAATAATTTAGTTCAGTAGTGATCATATATTATATACACATACCAGATGTATATGTTCTTTTTGCGATTCGTTCCGGGGTGTATAAAAGAAAATTTGTCTTCTGAACGTCCTTGTACATACATGTCTTCTACTAGATACCTGAAGAGACATTATTGCACTGAATTAAAGGTCGAGCCCCCTATTTCATTGTGCGCCAACAAGAACCTGTACAGTTGGAATCTTGTATGGAAAGATTAGAGCAAACACCTTTGTTTGACCATACTTCTATTCTTGCTAGCAAATCAAGAGAAAAACGATACACAGATTATTGCGAGGTAAAGATCGGCCTATTTAACATAAGAAGAAAAAAAAATCACTTTGTTGACGATGTGGCTATTTAATTGAGTTACACTTGTAAAAAGTGTTAAACATTTCAGTTGCTCTGTTCTTTCCACTAATTGAATTGGTATCGCCAAAGTGCTGGCAGTAATTTTGAAGAAAGCAATTAATGCAACCAGTTGCTGCTTTGATACAAGTCTAAACTAAATTTTTGCTATTCAGTTCTTACGATTAGAAGTAACTAGGTCGTAAAATATTATTATTAGCATCATATTATTAGCCATAATATATTAATTCCATCTCTAATGGCAATAAGATTATTATATACTACAAAGCACTGCCATAATTTCAACTAAATGTTACATTGATTTCAAAATCCTGCCAAATAACATTACTACCACATACCAAATCTAATAATGTTTTGCAAGACAATTTACTTCAAACTTCCAAACTTCATTGACAACAATCAACTATTGCATATACATTGTGCATACTAGTAAAAAAATGACTTCTAATTAGGGAAGAATGTTTCATTGTTTAAGTTTATGACTGAAACAAAACATGAAACAAGGCAGCTGAAAGTAGAAGGAACTCGATCATTGGATTCTATGCATAGAAACTTTTGATTGATTCGTGAAACAAAGTTCCCCCATTTGCAACATGTATATTTTCAATGACCATAGCTATGGAACTTTACAATACATGGATCAGACAAGTGATCATAAGCTTTTGGATTGCATAGAATTTAATGCTCAAGGCTCATCGATTAAGAACATAAAATCCTATTATCATTGACATCACATATTGCATCGATTCCCTTTAACGATGGTATATTTGTTTTGATATCGCACTTTTATTAGTCATCTGATTACATTAAAGTTGCAAAATTTGTCTCCCACCAGTCTTGACTCTGGCAACCAGAGGCACAACGTATGCAACTTTAATGAAATAGTAACTATTGTAGATTACAATGTAGAAGAAAACATATGTAACCGAAACAATCACGAAAATTCTGTTATCGCGGTGACTTGTTGGCGTACGGTATTAGGTTAGGTTCCTCGTAACCTACCTCGTCTCTCTTGTTACGCCTACTATTATACTGTTATTGTTGAAAACTCCATATTAATAAGAAATAAATATATTGTCTCAAAACTCTCAGCATCCTCAATCCTGTGCAATATGAACTAGTACTATACAGTGTGAAAAATCCTCTGCATCAACAATACATTATATATATTACATACATTTTACTTATTATCTTAATCTATATATACTATACATACATAAGTTCTATCGAAAATGATCTCTGGCTAAAACAAAAAAATGAATTAATGCAGAATCACTAAGAAGCAGTGATGATTTACATTATAATAGCAATAATGACTATTTTATCACGGTACATATTTATCTAGTTCCCATAAATTCCAAACGTAATCGTCATTTTACGACCGTGTTATCGCGTTAAATTTGCATAAATAAATTTCAATGCCTTAATAGCATTCAAAATTTCAACGGTGTAACTGAATCATTAAACAACCGATAATTTCGACAGCTGTTAAATGACGGAGTCAAGAGTATCAGGAACGCTGATTACTCATGCCTAGCACAGGATAATCTATGAACCCGAAATGTATATTTACGAGTGCCGTTCCGACCATAACACCATGGCAGTACTAACGACATTTTACATTCACCAAATTAAGTCCCGAAAATTTGAATTTTATAGGTACAACTTCAAATTATCGCGTAGCTACTAATTCGATCGATGAGATAAACCAGACCCTACACCCGTCGTGTATCCTACCGAACGATCTACGAATCGAACCGTGGCGATGTTGAAAAAAGTCACCGGAACCAGTGGTTCAAAGGTGCAAAGAAAATGAGCAGCCTGAAAAGTACAGAGTCAACGCGCGACGCGATAGCTACGAGGTTCATCGAGCAGAGCGAGCGAACCAAAAGAATTTGCAAGTCATTCGCGTCATCTACGATCACGAGTGCTGTTTCACGGTCGAACTTTCGTTTGTGTTCGGGTTTCTCGCGTCTCTGCAATACACCTTACCCGTTGTTAAAGAATCAACCGCAGCCTACCATCATCGACAGTTAGTTTACGTTAATTATCGTTTCCCCCGTCACGTCCGCGACGTTTTACCCGTCTTCTTGGTGTTCGATTCATTTGTCTAAGAGCCTATATATCAACTATGGGTGGACGCTGATCAAGAATAGGGAAACAGTCGTTGTCGACTTCGTTCAATGTGTTAACGTGCCCAGCGAGAGACGCCGTGCATGACAATTTTCAAGAAAATAAGGGAAACAAGTTCTCACGCAGGCTGCAACGACCGAAAACAAGTATACAAAGTACACTAACGCTGGTCCTCGGGCGAGGGATAGAAACTGTCAGTGTCCCATAATCTCGTTGAGAGTGACACGTGCGTATGGTAATTCCGTGGTGGTTTGACGCGTACACACACTCTTCGAAGCACCGTGGCGAACCTAACGTGTGTATACGTCTGATACCGCGCGTCATAGTGAAATATCAGTGAATGAATCGTCGAATTATGATCCTTCGGTCGCACCTCTATCCCCCCTCCTAATTCGATTCACTTGGGGAAACTTGACACGGGCGACAAAAGCTCCTTTGGTGATTTTTCATTTTCGTGGACTGTCAGGGAGCTTTCTCTCGGTCGTTAAGGTGAGTACTGACACTGTAGCCTAGTGTCATAATTATTATACTTTGGAGGCTTTCAGGTCTAAGCTGTGTTTTTGAAAAATTGTACAAATTTTTTACCAGTAGCTAGCTTTATCGGAGATAGAATGATACATTGATATTAATGTGTGTCGCATGGTGGTTTGTTGTAACAGTGTACTATGTCCATGAAAATGTGGTAAGAATTATTATGCTGTAGTTACAGTTGCAGATTCTTTTAGAAGGATGCAACGAGTAATGCTTTCTGAGTATTTTAAAGATATCAGGAGAATCTATGATGTCAAGGATAGTACAATATATCAGTGGAGACATGAACTGTTGGTCAAAGAGAAGTCAGTACAGGAAGATAGAAGAAATATATCCATTTAACCAGCATGAAACACATTACTATCAGAATGTCATTTGACCCCTACAGAAGCTAGCTATGATTTTCCCAAGAAGACACAGCTTGTATCGAAATACTTTTAACGAACTTTGTGCTACTTTCTGGAAAAACACTGCAAATGGGTGTTAATCTCTTTATCAATGAATTAGCTAGTCATTCGGTAAATAAATTGTGTACACTGTTTCAAGGGGATCTCTTATTGTAACATTCACTCTGTTTCAGTTTATTTTAATGGATGAAGACGCTTGTCACGCGAGAAAAGAAGCTCGGAGTAGCTTCCGGAATCCGAATCTCGGATCCAATTCGTCCTTTATGTCACCCGGCGACGACAAGGATTTGGAGGGGACGGAGAAGCATGGAGACCTCGGGGACATGACATTCTACATGACCAATTACATTAAGGATGCTATGAAGATGATGTTTATAATGCGGAGCCATCATATGCTCACCGACGTCGTCTTGGAAGTGGGCTCGGAACTGTTTTATGCTCATAAAGTCATTCTAGCCGCTGCGAGTCCGTATTTCAAGGTAATTCATATGGTAATGGGAACAGAGAAGGTGTAACAAATAAATGAAAGAACGTACTATTTAAATTAATGTTACAGGCAATGTTTACAGGGGGCTTAAAGGAATCGGAAATGAACAGGGTGAAGCTTCAAGGTGTCTGTCCGACTACCATGGCACGTCTGATGTATTTTATGTATACTGGCCAAGTAAGGGTCACTGAGATTACAGTGTGTTCGCTTTTGTCAGCAGCCACTATGTTCCAGGTATGTATAAACTGACAAAGTACATACTAAATTATACTATTCTGTACACTAATCATTGTATATATCGTCGTTGCAGGTTAGTAATGTCATAGATGCCTGTTGCGTTTTTCTGGAAAGACAGTTAGATCCCACGAATGCAATCGGAATCGCAAATTTTGCCGAACAGCACGGCTGTCATAGTTTGCATCAGAAAGCGAATCAGTTTATTATTCAACATTTTAGTCAAATATGTCAAGAGGAAGAGTTCCTCCAACTGTCGGCGATACAGTTGATAGCCCTAGTGAGAAAGGACGAGCTTAACGTGCAAGAGGAGAGGGAAGTGTACAACGCTGTCCTGAAGTGGGTGAAGTATAACGAGGAGGCAAGAGGGCCCAAGATGGAGCACATACTACACGCGGTTAGGTGTCAGTATCTGACGCCGAATTTTCTACGGGAACAAATGAAGAACTGTGATGTACTGAAGAAAGTACCCGCCTGTCGGGAATACCTTGCGCAAATTTTCAAGGACTTGACCCTGCACAAGAAGCCGATAGTTAAAGAGAGAACGCCTAATACTCGAAGAGTGATATACATTGCTGGTGGTTTCTTGAAGCATTCGTTGGACGTTTTGGAAGGATACAACGCGGACGAGAAGACTTGGACTCAACACGCGAAGCTAGTGGTTCCCAGATCCGGTTTGGGTGGAGCATTCTTGAAGGGAATGTTTTATGCTGTTGGTGGCAGGAACAATTCACCCGAGAGTAGGTAAGCAAATTGAAAGGATGGGCAACGGAAGATTGGACTCAAAAGGTAAAGAGAGCTTTCGTTGGATTCACAGATACGATAGCGATTGGGTCGACAAATACAATCCAGTCACAGATCAGTGGAGAGCCTGTAGTCCAATGTCGGTGCCGAGGAATCGTGTAGGTGTAGCTGTGATGGATGGATTGTTGTACGCTGTCGGAGGCAGCGCTGGCGCAGAATACCACAACAGCGTCGAATGTTACGATCCCGACATGGATACCTGGACTAACGTGAAGCCAATGCATATAAAAAGATTGGGAGTTGGAGTGGCTGTGGTGAATAGGTAATCGATAACAAATAACCCCAAAATATTGTAAAACTGAACTCCATTGTTTATACTGATCTTACTACTAAAACAGATTACTATACGCAATTGGTGGCTTCGATGGGACGAATCGACTCAATTCTGTGGAATGTTATCACCCGGAAAATGACGAATGGACAATGGTTTCACCGATGAAACGGAGTCGTTCAGGTGTCGGGGTAGCCAGTCTTGGTCAATACATATATGTTGTTGGAGGTTATGATGGTACTAGGCAATTGAATTCTGTTGAGCGATACGATACGGAGAAAGATATCTGGGAACTTGTTAGTAGTGTCACTATTGCCCGGAGTGCACTCAGTGTTACGGTATTGGACGGAAAATTATACGCGATGGGTAAGAAATTTCGAAGAATTACCAAGCTGGATTTACTGGTGCATTCAAATACTGAGCTAATGATTCTTTTAGGAGGATACGATGGAGAACATTTTCTAAGTATCGTCGAAATCTATGATCCTGCGAAAGATGTATGGGAACAAGGAGTGTCTATGACCTCTGGAAGATCGGGTCACGCGAGTGCAGTATCTTACTATCAATGTCCTATACACTGCGACCACTTAGATCACACTATATCGTTAGAGAAACCATCGCCGTCGTGATGCATATAACTCCTGTGCATCTGTTGACTTTAAAGAAATTGTTAACCAAGGAAAATTCATGAAAGAAGACAGAAAAAGAATGTCAGATCGAACACTTGAAGCAGTGAAAGAGTGATCTCTTTGTTACTGCAGACTGATTGTTATCATCTCCTCAAATGAATCTATGTTCCTGAGATGGTATACACGTCCTCACAGAACTTGAAGAATCTAATCATTACAACTATGATTTTATACTTCAGTGGACTAATGATTAACTTCCATTACAAAATAGGATTTAGTACAATGTTTTCTCGTTGAGATCACAAGGACTTAATCGTGTAAATATATTTGTATAGCAATGTTATTTTTGAAAAATTTTTATAGAACTCTCTTATTTGAACCACTGTATATTTGTAACATACTACTGAAATAATGTTGGAAAATATAGACACATGAAAAACTTTTTGAAATCTATCCTTTTCCCCGATATTTATAAACAAATTATTTACGATATATTGGAATTTATTAAAACATACGTGGGCGTAAAAACGGAATATGTTGTGAAGATGGGACGTGTCAATCGATATTTTCGAAAATGGAAGTGTCCCGACGAACCTACGGTTAACATGTTCTCGTAATATCTGTGATTAAAGACAACTTCCGTCTTTTGAATAGATCTAACGTTGTTTGTTACAGTTTTCGAATTATATTTATTCGCACAACTATACGATATTGTCCTCCGCCTGTTATCATCGCTTCCTTATGGCGATGAGGTTATGTATGTCCGAATTATAAACAAGAGTGAGCATCAAAATGCCAAGAACGTGCACGATATTTTCCACCGATTGTGTATCAGCGGAAATTCGGTGGAGGATGTGAAACTTTAAAAATACAACGATGAAATCCGTGTACAAATTGTTTTTCCTGTGCCTTATCTTCGTTGCACTGATAATACTGCTTAACTCGACTAATTTCTCAAATAAAATTTACGATGCGCAGACCAAAGAGGCTGTCGTTGCCTCGACCACTGCCAAAAGAATTCTACCACCGCCTGCAATAGGGGAAGTGACAATATGCGTGGTAGTTTGTGGGGACAGATTGGACGAAGCATTGACAATGCTAAAGTCAGCTCTGGTTTTCACCAGTAGACCCCTACAGTTTATTGTTCTGGCTGAGAACAATTTGATCCCTGCGTTCACTGAGAAACTAGCAGAATGGAAGCTGATGTCAAATAAAACCTTTGACTTTACAGTCAAATCTATTACTTTCCCAGAGGGAAGCGACGCAGCTATGTGGAAGAAGCTGTTCAAGCCATGTGCGGCTCAAAGATTATTTCTGCCAGTGAGTAGATTGAAAAGACTGTCTCTGATTCTACTTATAATTATCCTTACTAATCCAACATTGTGTGTGTTGCAGTCAGTTTTAAACGAGACAGATGCTGTTCTCTATGTAGACACGGATACTATGTTTTTGGCTCCACCAGAGACGATCTGGGACGAATTTAAGAAGATGAACTCAAGTCAGTTGGCAGCTTTAAGTCCAGAGCACGAGGATCCTAGCACAGGATGGTACAACAGATTTGCAAAGCATCCGTATTATGGAAAATTGGGTGTGAATTCAGGTGTAATGTTAATGAACCTGACGAGGATGCGAGAGTTCAGATGGATAGACTATGTGATACCCATCCACAAGGAGTACAAATTGAAGATAACATGGGGGGATCAGGACATAATTAACATCATATTCCATTACCACCCGGAGAAGCTCTACGTTTACTCTTGCAGATTCAATTACAGACCGGATCATTGCATGTACATGCCTGTTTGTACCAAGGCAGAAAAAGAAGGAGCCTTGGTGTTGCATGGATCCAGGGGAACGTTTCATTCGCAAAAACAACCACCGTTCAAAGCTATCTATAAAGCTATGCAAGAGTACCAGCTAAACACAGATCCGTACGACTATTTATTGGTACCGATGAGAAACTACTTAGCACTGGAACATAGATCAAACTGTGGCAAACTGTGGAGAGTATTCATTATACAACCTGAACTACATTTAGGACAACAGTAACATGTAAATGTCTTCTCTGTTCAAAGCAATAATGCATAGAACATAGCTGTTTCAAACTGTAGTACTTCCTTTTGTTACTATTTAAACGCTTTCTCGATTCCATGGCAATATTTAATGATAGTAACAGGTAATGCCAACACAAATACCGTAGGGTAAGTTCTACACGTTAATGTAAATCCTCTATACAGACTGATCGTATTCCATAGTGCATTCCTGTTTTATTTGTTAAAAAGTGCGCTGTGATTGTTACCGTTCAACGTGACGTAACGCGAACCGTGTGTCATTACACTTTTATCGATGATCTTTTGACAATACTCGTCCAATAGGCTTAGGATAATGAATCTCAAAGTCTTCTTATACTTAATAAGTATTATTCTACTCGATTTAGATTACCTTTTGAGCAATCTTAGCTATTGTTATACAAAGTATATAGATCGGAAGCTCAAAATTTTATACGAATTTTTCCAGCGCTCTAAGCGCTGAACATTTTATACGGGATTAGGTTTCATTTATGGTGCGACCAAAAACAAAGGTTGTTCTTTTTGTAAAAGAAAGTGAAAAGAAAAAAAATGTATCTAAGTCTAAAATATTGACTCGGTATTACTTGCTTAATCTACTAGACTATTGGAAGGTACACTCTCATGTTTGAACTGCGAATATTTATGCAAATTGACATGTTTATACATAAATATAGAAAACTTGAAATTACACACTTTTATTTCCCTTCGTGTTTTAAGTTTTAACTGTAATTGTAAGTAATAAAAGAAACTGAGATGTTTTTTTTAGCGAATATTGTAAGATAGCACAAGTGACACCCTTCTGTGCTCTTTCGAATGTTTATACAAGTGTACATGTAATTTTTTATTTTACTCATAATACATATATGGAGTCTCTTACGCATGCTGCGGGGGTTCTATGGCCCCACTTGTCACACAGGGTCTCTTACGCTTGCTCCGGGGGTTCTATGACCCCACTTTTTCACAAATCGGGGTTTCTTATGCACGTACAATACGTAAATTATTTTTTTAACGATTTTTCGTCGGTACGGCAGATTTGTTGGTCACAGACGAGATCTTCTTTACCGACGAGGGCGCGTTTATCATTAGATGATTAACCATTTCCTTAATATGTACCTAAAATGTCCGCCGTTAGATGGTACTTGTATATACTCGAATAAAAAGAATTTCGCGGTCTCTAATCATCGAGAGAAAGCACCTAAAGAAGCAATTAAATGATAGGTAAGTAATGAAACTATGTATCAATAGATTCCCTACAAATCTGATTGATTAAGATTCGGATTACAGTCTTCGTAAGATGTACCTCGTCTGTTCTTTACTTATCTATTCCCTCCTTCTTCACCTAACCGTTTGTTTTCCGTTGTTTTTTATTTACCCATTTGATTTCACTCATTTGTATTTAAAACATAATAAAAATAGTAATAATACCCCAATAGTAATAATAATAATACAACCTTTGCATTTTATCCTACGAAATGATATTCTCAGAGTTTAACTAGTTCGTCAACATTTCTCATGGAAAAAATTCTAGTGTCTAGTCCATAATCCGCAGAAAATATCCAGGAAGGAAGAAAGGAATAAGAGAGAAAGAGGAAAGAAATGGAAATATAAGCGGAAACAGCAGCATTTACTGGGAAAAGAGAGGGGGACCGTTACGTTCGGCGGGTACACACAGTAAGGGGCAACCACACGTAGTGCAGCGATACGCTCCTGCAGGTCACGATCGTGATTGATCGTACACTGTATGTTTGTGTAATTTTGTTTTTTTTTAATGAAAATTTATCGCATCAAGCGTACCTCGATGTGCGTCGATTACGTTAAATGGATTAATAAACGGCGTTAAACGTTGCCCGTGTTCACAGTGGATACATTTAACCTGGTTACGTCGCGGGAAATTGGATCATTTCGTTCGTATATGCACGTACACAGTGGAGAGGCAAAGTGGGATCAACGATCTACGATGCAACAGGCTCGCGTAGGTAGTGAATCCGAATTGCGATAATAACAGACGGCGATAATAGCGATAAGAGAGAGTATTGTCGACGAACGAATTTTTCTGGGAATAACAGGTCAGATATGAGGTATCGCTGCAACTTTAGCTCAGCGACGTTTCTTTGCCATCGACTAGTGCCTACTGTTTTGTGATCCAGTAAAACATCATTCGGTGGTTCCGCAGCGGAGAAAGGTAAGAGAATAAAATACACGACTTCATCTCATCCTCACGTTCCTTTAATTATCCCGACTGTACGAACTGAATTTCTCCTCTCGAACAGGAAACGTGAAGTGGTCATCGAACGTTCGATCGAGCGAACTAGATGATATTTAATAACTGTGAGAACTGTAACGTGAAACCAACGATCCGTTAAACCGGTATCCACCTGACAGTGGTTCTCGCACAAGAGACATTGGGATCGAACTGTCTCTCTTGTTTCTTTTCTACTATTCCCAATTACTTCCGTTTCCCTGAGACTCACGAGTGCCAATAATTATACTTTATCTCAATTAAGATTGTCATTGTTTCGTCGAAGCGAAATATTAATCTTGTTCGTGTTCCTCAGAAATAAGTATGCCGTTGTTCAAGGCGCGTGTCACGCAGAGATCGCCGACCTTGGATAAGATTTTGAACGGTGGCACGAATCATGGGAACAACCATTGTCACCAGAATGGAAACGAAACGGACCAAGAGGCCACGGATACCAATAACGGAGCTCGCGGCCAGAAGAACAGTAATCCTCAGACGCAAGAGCAACAGCAACGGCGGTCATCGAAAGTCTCGAGGCCGCCGATGGTGTTTCACTGTCAACTGGCGCACGGTAGTCCCACGGGACTGATATCGGGCTTCCGGAATGTCCGAGAACTTTATCAGAAGATAGCAGAACGCTACGATATGTCGGTGGAAGAAGTGAGTTCAGATTCGTGATCGACAGTAAGGTTATCTGATCGATCGCGGGAACACGGAAAGATTGACGTCAATGTGGCAATCTATCGTGTCGTATGACGTGTATATGTATCCCCCCCTCAGCTTCCACTAGGGGAAAAGGTGGCGTAGAGGAAGGGCCTTCTACCACTTGATATTGGGTATTACTGAAATTTATGCCAAATTAACATTCGATTTAACATTTATTTTAGTACCTGAAATAAATTTACCAAGTGGTAGGAGACTTTTCTTCTATGCCACTTTTTCTCATAGCGGAAGCCAAGTTTGCTCACGAGGGTACTATGAGTTCTGTAGCAGGTCTTGTACGGTCAATGATACTGGTAGCCCACGAATTGTTATTAAAAAAATAATAAGGATACTATTTGTTATTATTGACCGTATGATATCGACAGATGTTTCCACTGGCTATACAGCTTTATGGGGAGAGCATTATTCCGGATACAGGAAACATCGGTTACGGGCCGTGGCCTCTCCCGTCAGCCCAGCGGATACGTGCTCTCTGGCTGCGTGTGTAGTAACTCGTATCGTGTAATAACTGGTTGTAAATACCGTGAGCACATTTCCTATGCTGATCGTGGCTCGTGAGGTCACCCGAATCGGGACAGACTCGTGACGCCGCTTAAAAGTTGCGGTGAAAGTTGAAAGACATTAATACACGGGATGCTGATACCACGGATTAGGGGCTTTTGGATTTCTTAAATTAGTGGATTAACGGGATCTCCCGCCACCACTGGGCTCCAATACGTTCAAATGGAGAAACTAATTATTCTATAAATAGAAATACAAAATCCTCCGTGGTCTAGTAATTAACTAACTTATAAAAAAGAATCTAGCATGACAATTATGGTAACGACCGTTTAATTTAGCGTGTAGCGGAACACTTTGAACTATCCGTCACGTTTCAATGTGCAACATTCGCTTTCTATGAGTATTTAATGATTTGCTTCCGCTTTCAGATACTCTTCTGCACGTTGAACACGCACAAGATAGAGATGACCGAATTATTAGGCAGTCAGATAGGGGTAGGTGACTTTATATTCGCTCACAAGAAAGGTACGTTGCCAACGATTCGCTGAATTTGGTTTCCTTTCAATGTTGATCGACAATGGATACCTTCAGGACGGCCCAAGGAAATCGAACTAGTGAAATCAGACGATGCTTTAGGATTAACGATAACCGATAACGGCGCTGGGTACGCCTTTATTAAACGTATCAAGGAAGGGTCCATAATCGACCGGATCAAGGTGATCGAGGTCGGGGATCATATAGAGAAAATCGATTCGAACAGCTTGATCGGGAAACGGCATTTCGAGGTGGCAAGAATGCTGAAGGAGATTCCAAAAGGTTCGACGTTTACGCTGAGGTTGGTCGAGCCGTTGAAGAACGGATTTGGCAGCATTGGTCCACGCGGAGATCTGAAAAAGGGAAAGAAATCGGGCTACGGTTCTGGTAAAGAGACGCTTAGATTCAAAGCTGACGGAAGTGCGCAAATTATCGAAACGGTAATTGAATTCTCCAGTGAGAAATTTATACTGAAAATTATGAGATAACATCACCTGAAATCTATTTCTTTTGTTAATTCCAATCAACAGATAGACGATGCTGCAACGATAGGTATTGAAAAGATCAACGTAATTCTGGAGAGCTTCATGGGTATCTATGACACAGAATTAGGTATGTCTTTTTATAGAAAAATATTCCTGGTTCGATGGTGCCATTATGTAACGTTCTGTTCTCTTTTTGAAACAGCTACACAAATCTGGGAACTCTCGGAATGCAAAAGCAACAGCATTGAATTTGCAGAGGCAATAGACAATTCAGACCTGGAAGCTTTTGGCTTCACAGATGACTTTGTCATTGAATTATGGGGTGCTGTTACTGATGCAAGAGCTGGACGACATCGATGATAACAACTTAAATTAAGACAAATTAAAACTCTTGAAGCCATGATTTTTGCTCATTAGAGTACAGCAAACGCTGTTATCAGAAGTTTGAAGTTTAAATCATGCAGAATATTTAAACTCATTCAGGCAATGGCTTGTATTAGCGAGGAACACTCTACAAAATGTTTGTAAATTATTTTCTTATTAATGTGTAGACCAAGGACAACTTATAATATAAGTTTATATACAGGCCAATAATAGATAGCAAATAAAAAAAATGAAGAAAACATTGTGTTGTGGTGAGAATTGTTTTCCATTCTATATAATTGATAATACCTCTGATTATACTGAGTTCATGTCCTGAGACCTTGAGATTGTTGTCTATATACAGTTTATATAAGCGTATCGTGTATTGATTACAGCCAATGGCAATTACCAATGCTTTTAATAAAATGAAAATGATAATACGTTATCTGCATATGTAACAGTACCGCTGACGTTTTCGTCGGCGAGGCTTAACCTGACACGTTTATGAATTTAGTTGTATTTATATAAGTTTACGAGAAAATTATGGCGTTTGCTATAAGCAGAGCAAGTTGCTTGCTTTTCCGCGTGAGCAGCGGTTCGAGAAACAATTACAAAAATTTCAAACTCTCAAAGGTATGTGATATTAACGTTACTCGGCAACACCGAATGATTCCAAAAACGAACGTGAACTTAACCTACTTTCTTCCGGTATTTATATTTGACAGTATACCGTCAGATATGAAAAAAAGTGTTTTATCGATAAATGATCATGCTCGTGATATTATGATGAAGCATTTGATTGAATTTTAATTAAACGTATCTTGTTTAATGTTTCATATTACAATTTTTCACAGGTATGCACAGTTGATTTTTCTGTCAAAGCCAATATTCCTGAGGTAGAAGAAGAGACACCAAAGTTAACTTCACCCGTAGGAGATGGAAAAATATTCAAATGTATCAATGAAGTCATATGTGATATAGCAGACGGTGCTAAGCTTCTGGTTGGTGGATTCGGACTTTGTGGCATTCCAGAAAATTTAATTGCGGCTATACTTAAAAAAGGTACAAAGGATCTAACTGTTGTCTCGAATAATGCTGGAGTAGAAGATTTTGGCCTGGGTATACTTTTGAAGGAACACAGGATAAAGAGGATGATAGCTTCCTATGTTGGTGAAAATCCTGAATTTGAGAAACAGTATCTCAGCGGTCAATTAGAAGTTGAACTGACACCTCAGGTAATTATTAAGGACAGTGACGATTGGATGTTACAGGACACTAAAGATATTACAGTCGTGTCTTTAAAACTTAGGGCACATTAGCTGAACGTATTCGTGCAGGTGGAGCAGGTATACCAGCCTTTTACACTCCCACTGCCTATGGAACTCTAATTGAAGAAGGTAATGTTGTTGTGAAATACGACAAAGATGGAAAAGCAGAAATATCTGGCAAACCGAGAACTGTGGCAGTATTCGATGGTAAACACTATCTTATGGAAACTGCGATCACTGGAGATTTTGCCCTTATAAAAGCATGGAAGGCGGACAAAGCTGGAAACTTGATCTTCCGGAAATCAGCCAGAAATTTCAATCCGGTGATGTGCAAAGCAGCTAAGGTGGCAGTTGCTGAAGTAGAAGAGATTGTAGAGATCGGTGAACTGGATCCTGAGCATGTACATTTACCTGGTATCTACGTAGACAGAATTGTTCAAGGTCCATCATATGAAAAGCGTATAGAGGTGTGTATCCATTTAAAGCTAATGGAACTATCGAAAATTATTACTCACTCTATTTCTTGTATATCCTAGAAATGCTACACTCGACAAAATATGAAACCTAAAAAGGTGACGCCAGCCAGCAAAGCAAGGGATAGGATCATCAAGCGTGCTGCCCTCGAATTCAAAGACGGAATGTATGGTAAGAAATTAACAACAGAGTGAGCATATTCAGGAATACAGTTAGGTTTCAACGAATGAATTTCTTGTAGCCAATTTAGGAGTTGGTATACCAGTGCTTGCGTGCAAGTACATTCCCAAGAACGTTAAAATAACCTTGCAATCGGAGAACGGTATTCTTGGGCTTGGTCCCTATCCGAACGAAGATGAAGTTGATGCAGACTTGATCAATGCTGGAAAGGAAACAGTCACGGTATTACCTGGAGCGTCGTACTTTAACAGCGAGGAAAGTTTCGCCATGATTCGAGGGTACCTTTTAAAACACATATGTCAATCATGTTTTGTTAGAACGAAATTGCTACTGATTTTAATTTCTTTAGGGGTCACGTGAACTTGACCATGCTCGGAGCAATGCAAGTATCAGAAACGGGTGATCTGGCTAACTGGATGATCCCAGGAAAGCTGGTGAAGGGAATGGGAGGCGCGATGGACTTGGCTGCTGCGCCAGGCACAAAAGTAGTGGTGACAATGGAGCACAAAGCTCGCGATGGAAGTCCAAAAATTCTGAAAAGCTGCACGATGCCGCTGACAGGTGACATTGACACATCATCTCATTCTATATAAATATAAATATTTTTATCTATGTTATCTACCAACACTATCAGCCGACTTAACCTAAAAGATCATTTTCTGGTCCCTTGATATTTCAGGCCAGCATTGCGTGGACTTAATAATCACAGACATGGCAGTGTTCGAAGTAATGAAGGGAGAGGGATTGAAACTCATCGAGATTGCACCAAAAGTCGAATTAAGCGACCTCGTTAGCTCTACTGGTTGTGAATTCGCGGTGGCCGATGATCTTAAAGAGATGAGACAGGTGGATGTAGAAGACTGCGAATAGGAACGGTAACCTACTTATACTTACTTTTAAGCAGTACACAATTGTAAAATTATACATACACGCGTATCTTTAAGACCGTTTCAACGATTCTATACCTTACTCTAAGTCTACTATAAATACAATATTCTTAAGCGTAATAAGGCAGCTGAGTCTGACGGGTCGGAATAGTATATAATTTTTGTAATAGACGCGATGGAATAAAATCCAAACGCTTATTCTCTGAACTTTGCCTTAACTCTCGCGGGAAGCGGTAACAGGTAGAGCACGCTGTTAAATATACACAGTCCAACGGCGAACGCCAGCGAGATCAGTAGGTTCAGATCGACGTTCAACACCTCCGAGATATTTTCACCCTCGCGTGTGAAACGTTCTATCAAATAGGTCCTTCCGTCGGGATATCTGCACAGTTCCGGTACGCCTGGACACGCGAAGCTCTCGTTATAATGAAGATGCAGGAACGTGGGCATGTCGATGGCCAGTTGGTTCAGGGCTAAAGAAGCGTATCTCGCTGGTAACGCGGTGGAAACAGCGGCAAGCCAGTACGGCAAGCCTTTCAAGCTCCTGATGGCTCCAGAGGCGACCACGAGGGACACCAGTGTCATGTACAACACGGTTATAGCACCTGTTATCGGTCTCCCAACGACCATCATCACAGCCACGGTCACCTGTTCAGCCGCCACGTAGCTGGCCCACAGTACTCCAGAGGCGTACGCCCAGGACGATAGGTCTAGCTCTAAGATAGGCGTCAGGATACCAATTGTGATCATTGTCGAGACGAAACTGAGCGGTAAACTCAACAACGCGTACGCGGTTAGGAACATCGCGCCACCGTAAAGGCCCTCCCGTTTCTCCTGGTAATATCTGGCCCGATAACCTGGAACTGTGTACCTAATTAGCAAGCGATACACCCATTCTATTGGTGCCATTACCGCCTTCGCTCTTCAATAACTTACAGAGGAGCGCCGTGGACGCTATCCCGGCGACATAGAACAATGTCAGTACGTTGAAAACTAGACCGCCTGTCTGGAGAAATATCCTGGACTGAACAGGGGTTGAATGGGAGTATAGGATGCTCATCAGGGCAACGGTGAACGGTAGCAACAGAAGCCGAGTGGTGAAGTGTCCTAGCCCAGACTTGTTGAAGGCAAACGTCGCGGCCATAGCTCTCCTAGGATGTTCGTAATTGTAGTAATTAATACAGAATTATTATCTGTATATATGAACTGAGACGTGGACTCACAAATAAAGAGCAAGAAGGGTGGAGAAACATCCAGGCTTGATTCCTCGACCCAGCCCCTTGTGCATAATACCAAGAGGCGTGTCTTTCACGTTGGGCGGTATGTGTGGAGCCTCCTTCATGTAAATAGTACCCTCAACCTTGAACTTATCGACCAATACGGATATCTGTTGATTGGACTCCAGAAAACGGTCCCTGGATCGGCGATCGACCGTGGACAGGCACACTGAAACGATCGTTTACATTTACCTATTCATACTTCTAGTTTCCTGAATCCCTTTAAAGCATACTCACAGTAGTACATTAAAGGATTCTCCAGCTCAGGACAAGGGAATCCGATATACGTGAAATAATCCAACATGCTCCTGGTTGGTCCCGAATAAACGACCGCGCCAAGGCACAGAAGTGTCACGCGACTCACGAACGGAAGCACGTCCGACCTAGGTGTCTCCATTGTTAGAACAACGATGGATCCTCTTCTGGTCGCGTAGGACCATAGCATAGAAACGATCAGATAAGTATTAAGAGGATCTGTGTCCCATGTCGGCTCATCTAATAGTAGCAACGTCGGGTCCTTAGCAAGCTGGACTCCCAGCATCAATCTCCTGTATTCTGGCTTGGTCAGATCGTTTACCGACCTGTTCGCCACTTGAGACAATGCCAGGTCCGCCAATGTCTGGCGTACTCGGTTCTCCCTGTTATTTAAATTAGCCAACCAGGTGGCGTAGGTCAGAGTCTGCCGGACAGTCAGACTGGGCAGCAAATGACACCTGTGAGCCACATATCCTCCATGACGTCTAAACAATTCCGGTGTCAGCAGATTGTTGTTCAATGTGACTCTGCCCCTTGTTTCCCCTTCCGCCCTTCCAGCTGAAACGCAGACACACGGTTAAAGTAGACTGTCTACGACCTTCAGAGGATTCGTCTTATACAGTTGCTTCAAAGACATAGCGTTAGCCATAAACGTGGCCGACCTTTAAACCATCGATCATCGGGGGCCCATTCCCAGATAGCAAATGACGCCTTAAAGACGTCCATGTTACGGCTATTTTAGACCTAAGGCGCCCTTCAGCCGCCTTCAAGGCGTTGTGTGCTATCTATATCTTGATGTAGCTTTACCTATAACGTCGAGCAGAGCCCGTTTACCCGACCCCTTCGAGCCCAGTATCGCCAGAACCTCTCCGCCATGGACCCTAGCGGACACATCCCTTAAGACCGCGGTCGGCTCGGTCTTGCTCACGCAGCTTCCCTCGATCACCACCGCGGTCGAGTGGTACACGTTCGATATATCCAGCGCACAGTCGGACGGTATCATTCTGGACCCCGTTTGACTTACATTCCAACCACAACGTGTGTATAACCTCAACTCACTCGAGGACAAAACGATCTACGGCGCAGAGCACGGTGCCTGGAGAAGTGGCTCGACGAACATTTCACATGAAAACGTGTAGCCCCATCGGTAACGATACTTGGGCTGGGGAGTTGGCTTCGCGAGGTGAATGTCTCCTCTCCAGTGAGGTTGGTGGGAGGTCGAAGGTACCGTCGGTGAGTAGCACACTGGTGTGCCTACTGGGCTGTCGGTGGCCCCTCTGGAGAGCCTGGAAAAGATATGGTAGCTTTAAACAGAATGCTCATGTATAACAATAGGTTAACTATCCACGGTAGGAAGAATATAAAATACCGCCAAGTTCAAGTGGTGGGCTACCAGAATCAGGGTAACCAAGAAACATTGGAATATTCCAATACTGACTGATTCCTAGTCTTGTTCTTATTCCTTAGTCTATAGAGCTAAGTGAAATACAATAAAAGACAAAGCTTTCATCGGACCCAATCAGTTTTTTATTTCAGTCTGGACCCAATAAGATACTCAAGAGGAAAAATAGATTTCTTTATCTACTCCTATTTTTATAAATTACTTTAAAAAATGTTACTTTGCATAAAAATCCGCAGTCTATTTATTACTAACCGAGGAGAATTTAAGTAGAAATATGTAGCTCCATGTCTTCGAAGAAATTGATTAGCACACTAGTCTGAAGAAAGAAACAACACTGGATGATTGTTTACTACAGACTCATCCTCAAGATCACCGTTCAGGTATGCCAGGTGAGAAGGTGGGGCCCACAGTCTCGGTTGGTGCGTCACTGCGAACTTGAAAGACGAAGTGAGGTTAGGAAGGGCGGGAGGGGGGGCATTGGGCCCGAGAAGGGGGGCCTGGGACTCGGAAGGCACGTCTGTCAGAAGCGCCTGCGTTTAGAAAAGGCTCCCAGCGAGGAGGCAAGTTGTCGGAGAGCATACCGATGGCTATTGCGGTATCGCGATCGCGGATCGAGTGATGCGTTCGCGAGGGACGATTACGTAGGGCGAGAAACCGTGTGTCGTTGGGGTTGGTTTTTACAGTCGGTTTTTTCCTCGCGAAAACGGCAGACGAAAAACGAAGAAGAAATCGGCGGAATGGAGGAGCAGCAGCATCACCTTGACTCGACGAGGCTCGGTTGAAAGCTGATCCGGAATACCGGCGGTGAGTCATTGTCAGAAAGATTCGTTGTGTACATATGCCCAGGCGTAAGTTTTGCAGTGTCCTTTTGGAAACTCGTTTTTCGAATGAAAAATATCATCCCTCTATTTTCTGTCCTTCTTCTTTTGTCTCTGGAAAAGTTTTTGTTGAACAATTTGATCTTTTTGTTTAAAAAAAAAGAGGGAACGCCAGACGGTTAATAGACGACGGGATACGGTTCTAATTCCGCGATGGTCACGGTTCAACGACTGGGAACCTGATTTTGCATAAGGCTTATCCCGCGTACCGGTGAAAGCAACAGGTGATCATTCAACACGGTTTACACGAATGTGTAGCTTGTGTAGTTTTCCTTCGTCGTGGTTCTGTAAAAGTCAGGAGGGACGAAACGCGTGTCGCGGTGGCGTTCATTGATTTTAATTTCGCCGCAGTTTTACTTTCGCCTGATAATGAACGCATAATACGCAAAAATGGGTAGAAATTATCATACCCCGGATAGCACATGATGTCTTGAAGACGCTCATTTTACGGCTGTTTTAGGTCCGAGGCGTCTTTAAGCCGTCTGCAAGACGTCATATGCTATGATTCGTTGATTCTTATAATGCCGTTGAATCATATCTTCATTTTTTTAAGAATCAACCAATCGAAGTTATGAATTTCTACCCATCTCTGGTAATACTTATACTCTGCACAACGTGTGCCGAGTCTTTCGAATAATATTACAAGAGAAATAATCTTAACCTCCGTACACTGTTCAATAAACTATTGCATTAATATTCCTTGAAGTATATTGGGCCTGAATTAAAATCGACTTAAGGAAAAATATTTTCTTATTATTCGATTGTAATCTATGTCAGCTATTGCTGTCAAATTAATTTACAAATTTTTTAAGAATCGAACATTGGCATCGGGTCAAATTGATCCGAACAGTGCACGAGGGGAGCGCGAAAGCGGATGACTGTGAAGGGGACGCTGTATCGGGTGACTTCGATGCGCGCACAAGACACGCACTCCGGCGGCTTTCCACGTGCGCTTACGTCTCGCGCGATCTGCAATGTTAATTGGCCCTTTACCTCTCCCCGTATCTTCACGGTGTATATTGGGAAGGAAAAAACACACCGGCGGCGGCTGACCTCGGCCGCGCGCCTCCATGGAAACGTTCTTTGTTGGCGGAACGAACGCGGAAGAGATATCGCCTGGCAGTCACGATCCGATTTTCTTTGCTTCTGTGTGCATTGCTGATCGTTTCTGCTCCCATTAATATTTCATAATCTGTACTCTGAAATCTGATTATCTCGAAACAATGTTATATAGATGGAACTACGTAGCTCGTGACCTGTCCTGATTTAAAAAAAATGACAAGTCTATTTTTGTTCCATCTGGCGGCCAAAAGAACGTATTTTACTATGAAGTAATTTGTCAAGTTAAAAAATACAAAATCGGTTGCAAACAATTATTAAAATTTCTAAACAGGAACATGATATCAACCCTTTTATACAATCAATAGAAAACTATTACCATCGATCCATTAACCCTTGCGTAGGCAACCAAAATATTGACGGTTATTGAGATTTATTGATTAACGGTTGATGACGGTTTATTGATTAGTTTTCTCTTCCTATAATATACCAAATGCTGTTTGTGAAAGGAAATTCAGAAATGGGTATCTGGGTACCCGGTTGTCTACACAAGGGTTAAAGTAGAAACGACCAGCAATACATAGAAATCATATCCTAACGTTCAGACAACTTCTGAAACTACTTAAAATATCTTCCATTTATATAAAAAAATGAGATCTTCCATTGTTCCCGGAAATCGTAATCCAGCTTATGTAGTGCACTACACACGTGGTATCCAGGACAAGGCACAGTCACGTGTGTGGATCCACAGGCGAGCGTAGAAATCGGTGCGTGGGACAGTCCCACAGCCGCCGGAAGAGATTTCGAAATCGGAGTGTGTGCGTGTGTGTATACAGTCTCCCCCACCAGAAAAACTTGGACGGGGCGCGCTGCTGGTTACGCGGTCTAACGAGAATCATTAATGGGCGAACGAGACTGAGAAGAAGAATAAAAAAAAAAGTGAAATTTCTAATTCACGTGTGGCCAGAAAACGCACGCGATGTGCCGGCGGGTGACCTCGTAGCACAGAACTATCGCTTCGCGGGGGAGCGGTCTGAAACTTCAACGGGTCGAAAAGTGAATTTGCATGGCCAGGCAGCCGTGTACTACCGGTGGCCGTTTAATGGGGTCGACGACGGAAAAGCAGCGGACCGTGAGCACCTCGGCCACTTAACGACAGATATTAATTAAATGTGTATATACAGATATTTAAAAATAGAATGACTCGTTTATGCATTAAAAATTCACATTTATGCTTTTATAAACAATAAACACACTTCTTGGAAATTATTTGTAATTAGTTTGAGTAGATTATCTCCTTTAAATGGCCACCATTTTGTTCCTGACAGAGGCGGGCTCTTTTAAAAAGTTATTATATTTTAACATGGTCTTGTGATTAACCAATATTATGAGCACAAAAGTCACTAGACCATGTTACAGTATAATAACTTTTTAGTAACAGCCCGCCACTGTCAGAAACACCATGGTGGCCATTCGACGGTAATTTCCGAGTATATTTATTGTTTATAAAAGCGTAAATGTGAATTTTTAATACATAGAAGAGTTATTCTATTTTTAAATGGTCTAGTGACTCTTGGGCCACCCTGTATATATCACTTCGGTGGTCTGGAGGACAGACGAAATGCTCCATCGAACACGGAACGCGTTAACGCGCTCTCAGAATGTTGTGTAACGATGGGGGGGGGGGCATTTTATGATCGCCACTTGCACTTCTCAGAGGACGATGGGGGATCGATCGAGAACGTTGTGGAGCCAGATCGGGCACGAAATCGTTACCAAGTATATACTGGTACCGATACGCAACTGTCGCGCGCGAACGGGATATGCAAATGAACAGTTAACTCGAATAGTTATGGGATAGTCATTTGGGCTGTGAAAAGAACCGTGACGTTACGTAAATTGGGGGTAGCAGGATCGTTGAACGATTACGTGCAAGAGCTTTCATTAAAAGTCCCCCGTAGCCTCTGATTTCCTTCGTAGTCCTCCCGTCGCCATTGTTGTATTGCCTGGTCATTTCTATGTGAAACGTTACAAAATATTAGATTCTTTGTACACAGTTCTTTCAGCTCCAATTGTAATATTCTACTCTCATCAAATCTGGATTTTTTCTGGACCAGGGGTATCAGATTTTCGGGAGTTCCCGTGGTTGAAAAGCGCGAGGGGGGATTTTTTGTAATACAGCACAACAAAATACGAAATGGAAGGTACAAAACGGGGCCCGACTAGACCTTACGCTGACTCTCACCTGTAGACCAGATAGTGCGTTGAAGATAAAGCTGGTAGCGACCCGCAGACACTTCCCATATGCGGGTGGTTTCCAATATTAACAGATCCAATTTCTGTGAGTTGATCCGTCCAGGTTAGACCGGTTACGAAAATGTACCAGTTCTCTTATGGTACCGGATGGCGGCAGTTGTCCAATTATCATTTGAAAATAAACGAAGTCGATATTAACGGATTATTATGAAAGCTAAGAATTGAAACTAAAACTAATATTGCGCAATGCTGCCAACCTAACCTAGTACAATTCCGTGGCGAAGCAAAAAATTGAAAGCCTTTTCTTTTCATGGACAATTTTTATGAACACTTCAGAGCGGTTTCGATGGAACGGAACGGCTGGTATCGGTGCTCACCACTAACGGCGATTAGCGGTGGTAAATAACGTAGAATCTTGGCTAGCCTTTGAAGTGATGACCGGACGTACCGTTACTCCATGACGGGTAAAAATATCAGCCGTTGGTAGACGCGTGGCGAACGGTTCCTCGAACACGGGCAATTCATCGCCGAATAATAAACGACGATTCTTCAACAACAGAATACATATATGACGCTTGGTACCAGAGGGTCCGTTAAATGGTAACAGCGGGTTTATTTTCGCTGGGGCTCCCGGGAATGTCGCGCAGACTTCCTCGAGTTTCGTCGAGTACCCTTTTCTTTTTTCTCAGAAACCAAACTCAAAGAACGCTTGGTTTCGCGCGGAAAGTACAGTCTTGCGTCAACACATCTAACGGGAAACTTGAGCGTCTGTGAAAAAAGTGCCATCTGAGGTATTTGCATGGACCGTTTCGAGAGAACACTTCCATCTCCGTTATTGCCCGCGAAGTTTCTTCGTGTCTATAGTCAGGAACAGAAGAATGGTAACTAAAATGGCCCTATTCTAGAACTATTCGATCGAGTACAGTATTAGAACCAGCCCAGATAGCACAGGACGCCCTTGGAGACGCCCATTTTACGGCTATTTTAGGTCGAAGGCGCCTTTAAGCCCTCTTGAAGACGTCATTAGGCGTCATGTGCTATCTGGGACGTAAATATTATCTTAATACTTCTTAAATTTCATGGATATATCATCAAATCAACCTATTAAAGAGTAGTGAAATTATACCATATTTATCCAAGGCCAAAAGAGTATATCAAAAATACCTTGGATTGCAAAGGGTTTCCAAGGAGCTCCTCTGGAGTATCACCGTTAAATGGAATGTCGTGGCCTCGCGTGTGCCTGTGCAATGAGCATAATAACGCGTGTACCCGACTGTTGGTAAGCTTGCCGGGTCGTTAGGGTCGCGTACCGCGTCGGAGAAACTCGTTAAATCCTTTAGTGTCCTCTTAACGAGAGATACCTTGACGGGGGCCAGAGACGTTGTTTACCTGCGAGCAAAATTTTAACAAGCTGACGTATAGCGGTAAAAAGAAAATATATATACAGGGTGTCCCTAAAAATAGCTTCGACTCCGGGAAATAAGGGGTTCCTGGGATGATTTGAAACAACTTTTTCCTCAGCGAAAATGTTATCCGTGGCTTTGTTAACGAGATGGATCCTTTCAGGTTATTCCTGAAAGCAAAAAAACGAAAAAAAATGAGGCGATTAACGGATATTGGGTATCAGAATCGCGGAATCCACGTTATAACTCGCTCTCACAGCGGGGCGATAATTTATCACTCCATGGTGGGTAACCGCTCGATATTACGCGTGTTATCGCTCGGTAACATCTTCATAAATCCGTGTCGGTTGCGTTGTATCGCTGTTTAACGACCGTGGAAAAAATCAGCTACGGTAGGAATTTACTAACTGGCCGCCGTATCGATGGAAGTCGTTCTCCAGGGGCCTCTGTTTCGGACCGGTATCCTAGTCGCGGATATTTTCCTTTCACGTTGTTTCAAGGGGGGGAGCAGTGAGCAAGCGTCGAACAATTTAGTTTCCTCCTCCTCCTCCACCAGCAGCAGCCATGGCGAGTAATTTCGAAGGCTCGCCGATTATTCGCACGGTGTTGCACGCGTATTCCTGGAATGCGGCGTTGGTCCGAACGGTACCATTCCGCAGTGCTGGTTCCACGTCACTTTTCCTCCCCTCGGAACGGCTACCGTACAAAGCTGGTACCGGTTTGTTAAACTTATGAAAATTACATACTGTTCAGATAGTATACCATGGGCTCGGAGGCGTGGGAGCTGGAGAGACGGTACTCGGTGCCCGGAGCGTTGGACACCAGAGGACTGGACCAACCGGCCAGCGAAGACCTGCACGCCTGGTCCATTTACAGGTGATCCGTCCTACCCCTTTGATACAGTACCCAGACAGCATATGACGCCTTGAAGACGGCTTAAAGGCGCCTTAGACCTAAAATAGCCGTAAAATAGACGTCTTCTGGGTAAGGTCTCGATTAGTGCGACATACTCGGGGTCCACTTCGGAGCATTCGTAGTAGGGCGGGAAGGTTTTCAACCCTTAGCTTCTGGTTTACTCTGTTTCGATTGGTTCCACAGGGGGACCAATCACAGGGTATACCATAGACATATATAATAGACTGCGCGGTATTATGGTGGGGATGAAGTCGGCACTAGAAACTTTCCTCTCTTTCTAATGGGACTATTGGTGGGGGATTCATCACATGCGTGCAGCATTCCTTCTCCTCATCGCCCTCTAGTCGCTTTCTCCCTTCCCTCTGCGATGTGCGAGCAAAAGGAGTTATTCCAGCGCTACTTCCGTCCTTCAGTCGCGCTTTATCCCTATCGTAAGACCGCGCAGTCTATTATACAGGGTGTTAATTTTAACTCAAGCACCTAAATTATTTCCGCTACTATTTACAGTAAGAAAAAGTGACTAAATAGAATGTACAAGGTTTTTTGCAAGCTGATTTCTTCGCCTGCAAGGTCACGTCAAGGTCATGGTGTGTATGTCGTTGAACTAATTTTTTTCATTACTTTCAATAGTAGCGAAAATAATTTAGGTGCTCGAGTTAAAAGTAACAATCTGTATATGTCTATAAGGCATGCACTATAGCAACTATACTTTCCTACAATACCAAAAATGTGTCCACTGATCTAATACAATTTTCCAGGCAAAACTTGAATTCCGATTTCACCGATTCAGCGCTGGGCTCCGCGGAGAAGTCGCCCCTGCCGTACGGCAACTTTCAGCTAAGGGACTCGACGGTGCAGAGTATACTCAGGCATCCGAGGTACGGGCCGAAGAGCCCGTTGGCGAGCAATTCCTACACGTATCTGAAGTTCGGTCTGCCCCGTGTTCTGCCGCCCAGCGCGCGGAATCGCGATGGTTCGAGCGGTTATGACTCCAGCGAGGAGGGCCGTCGTGTGTCCCACGCTGGGACCTCAGCTCACGGCACGTCCGCGATGCGATCCGCCCGTAGCGATCCCGACTTCAGGCACGTCCACGCGGTACCCAGGGAACACGCGCACTCCCAGTTAACGGTCACCAGAGAGAACCCACGGCTGAGAAGCGCCAGCGAGGCGAACCTCCTTCAGGGCGGGGTCAGGGGCAACCGGAGGCACAGCATAGCGCCCATGGATCCTGGATACGGGATTCACGAGCCCAGAGGTAAAGCTGCTTCAAAGATATAGCGTTAGATATAAACCTGACCGACCCTAATGTTTGTGTCTAGGTAGTCGGTCAGTTGGTTGTGTCAGTTATTCCGTTTTAATGTAATTAAACAATGTGTCACTACCCACTGCAGATTCATAATACGGTGTCGGTACTATACTTTAAGTGGACCACCAGCTCCCATAAGATGAAACGTCTATTCTTATACCTCGTCAATGCTTGCGGTCTGATGCCGAGAAATTACCATTCCAGGTCATGGTATGCTGGGACCAGAGGGCTACACGCTGCCCCTGAGACCTGTACCCTGCCTCCAACATCCGCATCTTCAACTGCGCGGCGTCGAAGCGTCTGGATCCGATGGATTACCTCTTCTACGAGGGATCACCCTTGAAGCTGGAGCCACGGAGGTCCTGGCCATCATGGCGACCACGGAGAAGGAGGGGAAGCAAATCGTTGAGACCATCGCTGGCCGGAAACGGATCAAACGGGGGGACATCTTGCTGAACGGGAGATCCGTGTCCTCGCGTTCCTTGAGGTATGACTGATTTTCGAGATGAAAATACGTTTAAATGGCTAATGACCCTTGCTACCAGGTCCAGGGTTGCCTATCTGTCAACGGAGAGCGGACTGAGTCCTGGCCTGACTGCCCAGCAGACACTTAGCTTCTACATGCTCCTAAAAGGCGGTCCGAATACGTCCAAGTTGGAAGCTGACGCGATTCTTCAGGAACTTGGCCTGGAAGCGACCAAGCATTGCTTGGTGAACTCGTTGACCACCTCCGAGGCTAGAAGACTGGCTCTGGCGTGTCGTCTTCTGCAAGACTCCCATATTTTAGCGTTAGACAGACCCACCCACGGCCTGGACATCTTCGATGCGTTCTTCCTGGTGGAATACCTGAGACAGTGGGCGAACAGAGGCCAGAGATTGGTGGTGCTGACGCTACACCCGCCTACCTACGAGATACTGACGATGGTGTCGAGGGTTGCGCTCACTTCCGGCGGCCGAATCATGTACTCCGGTCCCAGAAGGGATATGTTGCCATATTTCGCGCTCGCTGAATTCCCCTGTCCCCCGTTTAAGAATCCCTCCGACTATTATCGTACGTATTTCCATTCTCCGTTCGTTAGAACGTTAGATTAAGGTCGCCGTTGAAACAATAGCAAGGTAATTGTTCGTTTTAGTTGACCTCGTAACCTTGGACGATTTATCGGCCGAGGCGATGCTAGAGTCCTCGCAGAGAATAGATCATCTGGCCGAGTTAGCCAGGACAAGGTTACCCCCGCTCAGCGATCCTGGACCACCCGGTGCACTTCCGCCCTCTATCTGCAGCCCTAATATATTCGTGCAGATTTACGCGTTGCTGTTGAGGACGCTGATTTACAGCCAGCCCTGGACGCTGACCAGACTACTACGGAAGATCGTTATTTCCGCTTCGTTAAGTATTCTACTCGGTGCAATATTCTGGGACGTCGCTGGGGACTCGAATCTATACCTGCGCGACAGAGTTGGCTTCCATTACGCCAGCCTGGGTGTCCTCTTCTGGCCCCTATGCACGATAGCCATCTGCGAGGTGGCTGACTGCCGGCCAAACGTCGAGAGGGACATCAAAGACGGTCTCTATGGAAGATTTATTTACATTTTTATAGAGGTTAGGTCGATTTGAGAGAGAAAAGACTTGGTCATAGATGTTTTTATCAATTTAGCCCTCCTTTTCAGCTCCTCTGCGGAGTGGTGTCCTGGTGCATAGTCTACCTGATCTATCTGGCACCTGGTTATGCAATGTCTGGTCTCCATCTGGTGCCCGATGATACTCTAACGTCCTTCTGGAACTATCTCGGCGTTGGCTTGTTATACCTTATCCTGCAGCATCTGATCTGCACACTGTTCGCTCATACATGCAAATGGACGTACTTAGCCTCCCTCTTCTCAGGGATTGTGATAGGGGAAATGACATTGGCTGGAGGTGTGTCTCTGCATTTGGAGAATCTACCAGGCTGGTATCAGAAGATCAGTCCGATGCAGTGGTCCCTGTCCTTCTTGCTGCCTCCTCTTCACCAGCCTGACGCGATGAGCAAACTAACAAATTGCAAGCCAAAACAGATCCAGAGGCAGGATATTATTGTTCAAGCTGCCTGTGAACCACCGGATGGTGCTTTAGCATTGTACGAAATTGCTCTGGATAAATTCAATGTACGTGGAGAACTGTGGTTGGGAATAGGAATAGCCGTTGTTAGTGTACTGATAATACTGGTGTTCTTGTGTATCAGATATACTACACCGAAAAGACTTAGAAGTGCGCCAAACAAGCCATAAAGTGCAATTATACGATGAGATACGTCTATACCTTACCTTATTTCTTGTTCGTGTAACTGACTAGCAATGTCTTCCTACAATGTTGCAATCTTACAAGTACAATAAGAAGTATTATTTAATAGAAGCATACTTATTTGCTTCACCATCAAGCATATATTCTTGTATCGTGTCATGCTCGTTGGTTTTGGCTCTACTGTCTATGTTGTTGTGACTTTCTAAAGCAAGGAACTTTAGGGACTCGCAAAGTAGACGTGTGCGACAAAACGTCAGAACTGAATGAGCCGTTATATTGCGATCTTTTATAGATGCTTTAACAAGAACGAAACTCGATAAAATAATCCACAATTGTAACGCTATAATCAAACCGACCGAAAAAGTGTTTTTTTTATGAAATAAACACAAGAACAACATTTACCTTCATTATCCTCTGTTCCCTGACAAAAAATTCAAAGGAAACGAGTGGTATGAGTTCCATAAAAGATCACCGTACAATAATTAGTAAAATATTTCATAATTGTCCGTTTCCCCACTATACATTCCATTTTCAAATGTTCACAACGTATGTACAGACATGCTCGGTCGATCTCGTCGTGTAACGTGATCATAAGCTCCATCTACAATTGATTGCAATGCCGGTAAAGCAGATTATCCTTGTACTGCAGTCGGAAACAGTGATATTTGATTCATTTAAATTTAAATTAAATAAAATACTTTACAAGGTACTGATAATGCGTGAAAGAGTATGTATATGTATGTAGTTTTCAAAGAGTACAATCGCCAATCTGACAACTTTGTTAAAATTTATGTGTAGCGAAATATTTAAAGAGTCTGGAAATCGATAACGCATCCCTTCCCAAATCGAGTTTGTATCCCGTTTAGAAACGATCGCATCATTTATTAATGCTGAAGACATTTAGATGGTTGCAATCGATATTCTATTGGATAAATATATCTGTGGGGCAACACCACACGGCTGCATATTCTAAGAGATAATTGTCGAAGAAAATAGACCATTTGCGTTCTTAATTAAACGGACCCGGGTAATTTTATCAGATGGGTACTTTAGGACTTATCTAATGTTGATAACCGATCTGTTGTCGATTGCGTGACGACAATCTTTCACGGTAATCAGAGATTACAAATATCTACGGTAAACCAAGAGATTGCAATCTTTCAAATTTAATTTACAGAGACCGATTGTTTATCTTTGAACACCAGATACAGTTGTTAAGATACGATCCGTTTATGTTGCATGACTGCATTGCAATTTCTAATTATAGAGCTGACGACAAAATTTGATGATCTTGCAACTTCCTGACCATCGAAGCACCGGAAGTCGATATTGCATAATTCGCAGGGCGACGGTTACAAGGATGTGAACTTTAATACAAGGGATGCCAGAGATAGTGACACATTTAGGTACAAATTTGAGTTGTATAACCGCAGAGAATAAGAGCAATCATGTTGAATCGACGGTGAAAGAAATTATATTGAAAATTGAGTGGATTTCGTCAACGTATAGACCGTTACTACCGATCCCGCCGATTTCCAAAATGAAGTAACCTCACTTATTTCCGACAACTACAGACAGGATTATTTTATCGAACATATTTCACTTTTTTTGTTGTTCCGAATATACCGAAAGGGCGAAATACGAATCTTTTCTCCCGAGCCTGTACTTTTTCCAGGAATCCTCTACGCCCAGTTGGCTCGCACAACCTACGCGACGAGTTAATTACTCTCATCGGCGGAAGCCGGCATTTACGACGATTGCTCATCGTCAATTTATACCAATTCGGTGAACGAACGCTTCGAAGGAACTTGAACTCCCCACGGAGGAGGGAAAGAAAAAAGAAAAAGAGAGAAAAAAACTGTTTCATTCAGTAAGATTCCTTCGAATGACACAAACGTTCAACGTGAAAATGTAAAGAATTCAATTTTAGGTTAGATCAGCTGGATTTCGGGAACATCAGGTAACCTGGATGTTTTGTACATCAAAGTACATTCCTACACCGATATTCCTATGTCCATTTACAGGAATTGCCAGCGATTCCGGCACAATTCCTGGCAAGGTCTCGGGGGAATGTGTGTGTACGACGGAGAGAATAAAAGCAGCATGGAATAACGAGCTCGTAGGTCCAGCGTGGGCGCGTATAAAGTTCTTTCGCTTTCTCCCTCCTGGTACCGTTCGCCTCTTCATTGATTATTTTACTTCGACACCGGTTTCCCACCTACCACCATATGCCGAGCATCCTGTATTAGCGTGTAACTTGTACGTCCTGTATCCATACACACACTCACCTCCGCGGGGCTGTGTGTATTCTTAGATCCCGACGGAAAAGGTATTCTTTAACGAGCTAATTAAACGGCCGATCCCATTGTGTTGCGGCATTATACATGCGTCCGTAGTAAATTGTCTTTGGGTGGACTTCAAAGGACACGCGACTTGTTCAATCTACAGTAAATCCCCGATGAGTGGTAACAGGTGCAATGATGGCTTTTCAATGAGGTTTAGCTCAGTGATAGATCTTGGAATTCTGTTGCCACTGATATTTGTTTCAGCCGTATATGGCCATTATTTTATGAAATATTTAACATTCAGTGTCGAGACGACTTGATTTGATGCATTAGGTTTTAGTTTACCCCATTAAGGTATTTTATAGAAGAAAGAAATTCCTACATTTGTTCTTTTTATGAATCACTTTGGAAACTGTCATTTTGCATAAAAAATACCGCATTCTACTTATTGGATTCCGTTCCGTAGGATTTGTGGAGGGACCCAGCGGCCTCAACCGATCAAACACTTTCATCCGTGTCTCGATAGTCATGGGAAACGGAGATATCTCGAAGGAACCAGATGAAATCCTATAGGCAGCCTCCACATAGCCGGACGCAGTGTAGAGACGCCTTACGTGCCCGAAGGAATGTGGGCGCACCAGTTTCGAGTCATTGAGAGAAGCGGCCACGTATGTATTCAGATCTTTCTCTCTCCACGTTTACGAGAAGCTACACAGGTCAATGATTTTGACACGTGGAATCGTGTCGGATGGGTATCGATTCACACGATCCATCGAACAGCGTGGGCCGCTGGAGCAACAATCATCGAGAACCCACCGGATTCAGGGGGCTGGTTGTTTGTTTCTTCCTGCTATCGAGCCCCCCCCCCCTGGGGGGCAGCAGGATACGATTACTCATAGCGGCGAGTATCAGCGCAGACGGTTGCTCCGTTGTTGAAATAGAGGTCTGTTTAATTTATCCGACTGTTTCCGGCCCCACCCCCCGGTTTGTATATTTTCAAAAATCCTCCGGCGCTATTCTCGTCTACCGGAACGGGCTCCGAAGCGACTCGACTGGGATCGAAACTGTACCCTGATAACCAATTGTGTACGAATCTCGAGTCAATTGCCAGTAACAAATGACAAAAGTTGTCTAAAAAAAACCATAGCCATCTGCTTCCGCATTTGACTTTGGTTTTGCAGGCAACGCCAGCTGAGGAAATGGTAAAGCAAACTGGCAGAAAGTCTTGCAACATGACCAATGTCAAATTGTGGGCAAAACCGGCACAAGGTTCGCGCAAGCCAATTTGCTGCAAGTTGTTTATAGCAAATCTTGCATAAAACTTGTAGCCATAACTGTATAACAGGCATTAAACAAAATTTGGATTTGCAGGTTTGGCTGACTGGGGCACGTATGTACATGAATGAAACACTTTTACTGTACACATTCGATCACACTGGCTTCTATGGACCTTCTTGCTGAACACGGTACACACGTACAAAAGGGACGGTTTTATTAACGCCTCGGAGTCAGCCGCGTAGCGAAGAAAGCCGCCGGATGCAGGAGAGGCCAGGGGACGTCATTATCTTATCTCGAACCATTTCCTGTCAACCTGAGGCCTCTTTTCGTGGTAATCACACACACGCACACGCCCACGCGTGTACGAACGGACACGTAGCCGAGCGCGTGCACTAATGCTCGGCCAAGTGTTGGGGAGTATTGCTTCCGGTGCGTTGTACGTTCGTTGCATTTGTGTGTGTGCATGGCTATGAGCGTCGTTTTCTGTCGGAGGGGACGTTCACGGCTGCTGGTCAGGAACCCTTGAGAATGCGCACGACTTTCCATTGCTTTATAATTCCATTTTGGGCAGATACTGATCGCTGCTCCCGTGATACTATATGGGGTAAGGATATGTGCCTCTGAGAAGAATAAAAGAGAGGGAATATGTATAGAAACGTTTTAGTTTTTATAAAAGGGAATTTAGGGTACTCAATGCTGCAGCCTAAACGCGCACTTACATCTGGCGAGGCACCCGAAATCCATCGATTTCTGCTCGAAGCTTGCAAGGCTCTAGATGAACAAAAAACGCGTGGCTAGATATTTTGGATTCGTATTCGAAAACAAAATCCGCAAAATTAACCCCTACAGGCATTTCTCTCATGTGTTATGTATGTTATAGGGCTACTGTCTTTAGACTTGTAATACGGTTCACACGAGTGACGATAAAATTTGATTTCGTTGAAATTGTTTGAGATCATCGACACGCTGGAGGAACGACTCAAGAGGTTCAGGGACCCAGTCCCGAGATGTGTTTGTAATGTATACGTCGTATCGCGATGGAACGCGTTGCGGTTGGTCAGTATTTCCGCGACACGACCCGCGCTTTCGCTCGTCGAACGACGAACTTTTCCGTTTGATAATCGAGCCCTCCTCTGGCAGAGTTTATTTTTTTTTATATCGATGATCGAAGGCTCTGTTATCGTTATCGCCACGTTGTAACCTGGCTTCTGTTCGTTTCACAACGGCAAGACCGTCGTGCTTACCCAAACATCAGCGATTCGTGAACAAATATCTTTTACATAGACAGAAAGTGTAACAAATAACTCGATTATTATTATCAGAACGATCAGTAGACTACGGATATTTATGCATATATGGCATCCTGTCTCCAGAAAAGGTATTATTACGTATCATAGAGAAGAGCTTAGTACAAAGCTCAAAATTCTGTACAATTTTAATTGTTACATATTAGTATTTAAAATCGTAAATTTACATAAACGTCCACAAGTCTAATCAGGGATCATTTATGAATTTCAGGGAGGCGTATTCCACCACGATCGATCGTACCTCGTGCAGATCGGCTCGTGAGAAAAGTGCAGCCTGTTATGCAGCTACCATGTTGCACACAAACACACACACACACACACACTGTACATAGAATCGTGATTGAGTAACGCTCGCCCGGTGACTTCCGACTGCATCACGAAATACGTAATGTCGTTGGTGTTATTAAGTATGCACACCTGTTAAGGTCATCAACAGGTACCACTTACGTCATCTTTAGCGTACGCATTAGCAACGGTGTGACTGCCATAATGATAGCCCACGGCTTCTCTGCGTTGCGCTTTACCATTATTGTGCATCGACCAGCCCGTTGTACACCTTGAAATTACAAATCATTGCTACAGTGATCCCTCGATGAATGCAACACGAGCAACGGCGTTATTCCCACCTATGGAACCAATCAAAACATAGTAAACAGAAGCTAAGCAGAGGCTCGGAGATAAAGATAATAAAAAACAAATTTACGAGGGTCTAAAAACCTATCCATTTTGCCACGAATGCTCCGAGGTCGTCGCACTTATAGAGACATTACAGTATTTGGACAATGGTAACGCATATCATTTTAGCCAACCACCAGATTATATTTACAAGATTGTAAATGTTATTTATTATTCATAAAACTTTCAGGTTCTATCATACATTTCACCTACATGGCACAGACACAGAATAATGTGCATAGCAGTAGCGCAACGTCCGGCCGTCAATGCGTTCACTGGCGATCGATAATCCTTTTAATAGGTCTCTCGAGCTGAAGGAGGGCACGCTTAATTTCTACCGACCGATGCACGTGGCCGGTTCTCATTTCAAACAATAACCACCCACTCGCCCTTTATATAGTTCAAGCCCGGCGTGAAATACCTTTCACCGACTCGGCTCGCTAAATATGGCGACAGCCCACCCATCCACCCCCACGCAACGGGTAATAGTAGCCTCTATAGGTAATAAAAAACAAAATGAGTCGTTTTTATTTTCAGGAAAGGTTGCCACCGCGATTCTTCGACACGTCACATCCGTATGCATCTTTATTAGGATCTCGCGTGACGAGCTAGATAATTTGCTTTATCGGAAGAGATAAAATACGGCCCTGTTCGGTCGTGAAATATATACATCCCTCGATGAATGCGGCACGAACAACTGCGTTGTTCCCACCACTGGGGGAGCCCCCCTGTGGAACCAATCAAAACAAAGTAAACAGAAGCTAAGCAGAGGCTCGGCTTCAGGCAAAAAAAAATTAATTTATGAGGGTCTGAGAACCTTTCCATCCTGCCACGATTGCTCCGAAGTGGACGCGAGTATGTCGCACTTATCGAGACGTAATTGTACTCGTGTGTCAGCCCATGGAATGAAAGGATCGACGGAAATATGGAGTACGAAGCAGTCCAGGAGAAGTTTGGACGGTTCAAACATTAGTTCGGTCGGTGGCGTGGCGTTCGAACTTAAAACTCAGGTCCAAACTCTTCAAGATGGAGTCTAGGTAAACGTTTATGAAGTCTCTGGTACCTATGGCCTTGACTAGCTTGTTCATTTCCAGTACCATAATTTATTGAACGAAACCATTTCTCTAATTTTCAAGTTTGGTCATCAAATGGGATGCCATATAACGATCAGAAGGATTACAGGGAATCGATTAACAAGAGATTCGCAATCGCACGGTACCGTTCTTCTCGGTGTAAACACTGGATCTTCCTCAATCCGTGACGAAAAAAACAGGAATATCGTTTCCCAACGATTGTGTGACTCACCCTACGTACTCCATCCTCGTGCACGACAATTCCAATGGAATCCCGTCGAAAAAAAAATAGTAGAATGGAAACGAGGCGACCGATGAGGGGAAAGGAGATTCTTACGTAAATCACTCTACAGACGACCATTGATCGAGTTGAACGTGCGGTATCAAGGACGGTGTAGTACGCTCACCTTATCACGCGGCTCTTTCTCTCTCTCTCTCCCACGCAATCGAATTGAAATTCGTCTCTGGGTGCCACGGAACGCCTGTCGAAGGCCACCGACACCGGTCGTAGAGCCCTTTTTCCCTCCGCCCCCCACCACTCTGTCATTCTTCACCCGACCCGCCCTCTCTCTACCTCCATCACCCTGGGAGGGGGAGACGGGGTTCTAGGGGTCGCGATCAAGTGGCCCTGCGCGCCGACCCCGCGTTGATCGAACGTGCAAAATCTTCAACGACAGCAGCCGAAATGAATGGAATGCCAGCCCACGCCTGAGGGACCGCCTGATAGGCTGCCGCGATCCGAGGTGAGGCTTCCACCGCCGTACACACACATTCTACGCCAGGCCGCTCAGGGACGTAACCGTTTCACTGGTGGCCGAGCACGGTGGAGGATTCATTCATTAAATCGCCGGTTTCACGTTCGATAGCCCCCCTCGAGAGAGAAAGAGAGAGAGACCTTTTTCACGGTTCCCTGGTTACTCCGATAATTTGTTTGCAGATCCTCGGGTAAACGGGGCTGCTACCGAGCGGACAAGCAGTGTTTATCGTGAAAGGGTTAAAGTAGTTTTCCAATTAATTCCAAGGCTGTTTTGGATGGGACGATAACGATCAGGCTGGGAGATTCTATATGCCTTTAGAAGCCGTACATCTGTTCCTGTTTGTGGGTTCACAGGTTTTTCCAATTTATTCGTTGTAAATACCTCAGGACAGTCAGATTTACGAATTAACTTCTAGGCAGTGAGGTTCAAAGAAACGATTCGATGTTTAACAACTGATTCTGTTTCAGTGTCTTTAATGGACCAGAGAATACGGAACGCTGCCTTTCAAGGCCCAGGGGATTATTTCTGAAGCTAACTCGGTGGGCGTTATCTGTAAATACCTCGGTCGGTCGAAGACACCCGCCGAGGATCGCTGTATTCCCGGTGGTATCGTCAAGGGCGCCGCACAGTGTCGCGCCGCGCCTGATAGAGCCGAAAGCACGTGCACGCGAGTGTGCGTGCACCACGTCGATACGATTGGCGGCGGGGGAGGGGGTAGACTCTGGTAGACGGACGACGGGTGCCGTCTTTCTCGCGTGGAGATCGCAATAATATGCGCCCACGCACGCGTGTATGTGAGAGAGAGAGTGGGAACGAGCGTGTAGTGTACGGGGTGCCCCTTCATCCCCCGCAACCCGGCTATCCCCCCTCTATGAACGGCTCCGGTCAGCGCCAACCGACCCCCCGACCCATCTACCCACGCCTTGTTAATGAAAACATCTTTTGTCAATGAACTGACGTCAGCCCGGGCGCGGATTGGCTGATCCATGTGGGACCACGTGACCCTGCGCCAATCGCGGAAGGGACATGGCTCCCCTACGCTCGACAACCGGACCGCCATTTGCCCATTCTGTACGGAAGAACGCTCGAGGTAAGGTGTGGCCTGCGGGCCCTGGCCGAAGAGAGTAATCACGGGCGTGCGAGAGAGAGAGACCGAGAAGAGGACAGAGAAGGTTGGAGAAAGACACGATCCACACGTCTCTACGCGGAGAGAGAAAGAGAGAGTGAGGGGAAAGAAGAAAAAAGAACAGGAAGTGTTGGGGGTACGGCACCGAGGGAAGACGCGTCGTCTTCGAGCGATGCTGGAGGGATTCGTGAGGTGAGGGCGACGGTCTGCTCTCTCTCTGGGACCGAGTTACCTTGTTCGCTTCGAGCGTTCTCTTTTTTTTTTCGAATCGAGTCGGTCCAGTTCGTGAACGCGCAGCATCCCCCATTCTCGGTAGAAGGTGAGGTTGAAAGGAGAGAATCAAATTGTGACCCGCCGTTCGGCAGCACTCGCGCCGAGAACGCACGGAGAGAAGTGCGCGCGAGTCTGTACTCTAGTGTATTTTTCCGGTGGTCGAGTGTATCCGTCTAAACGGGAGGGGAATAATAATGCCGCCGATCGGGACGTGCTGTCGCGAGGAACGACGTTCTTCCCGCGAACAACCGGCGGTCAACTCGAGATAAATTCCCGACGTCCACCAGCCGGTGTGGATCATGCTTTTACCGTGCGCGAGGTCGAAACAGTCCGCAGCTCCAGCGTTAATTGGCCCTGTCATCTTTATTTACGAAAGGATCAATAATCGAGACGAGCTGACGGCGGCCAAGGAGGGAGAGGAGGTGGTGGTAGAGATCGGTGTGGAGTAGAAACTGCGGCGGCGTTTCGACTGCCCGCAGGAAGGAATGGCAACACGTGAGAACTACGCTCGGGAACGTGACGGTGCGTCCGGGGTCCTATGAGAGAGAGAAAGGCACACACCCACCCCACCCCGTGCGCGCAACTCCAAAGTGCCATTTCGTTGTGTCCGAGATAAATGTATATAAGTACGTGCGTGTTTATATGCCTCGCGCTGTCAACAGAGGGAATCATGAATGAGCAACGATTTCGATCATGAATGAACGCCCGTAACAAGTGTTCTACCGTCACGCAGGGATCGATGATCGACATGCTGTTAGAAAGTGCCATAGGAAGACGATGGAACAATTCAAGAGTTTTCGGGGATTTTCGGGTACAATGGGAGATAGAAGAGAATCCCTGAGAGAGTCGCCTTTGTGAACAAGTATATGTATATATATATATATATATATATATATATAAATATATGTATATGTATATATGTATATATGTATACAGTTTGAATGAATTGAAGACCAAAGAAGCATCAGGAATTTGGATTGAAGCTCGCAATTATGCCAGGTGGACATGTTTTGGAGGAGGATCTTGTGGGTCCCGAGTGGCTTTTCAGAGAGCTCAGATCCCAGGATGGCTCTGGCAGGCTTCTTATCCTTGACTGCAGGGCACATTCTGATTTCTCTGAAACTCACGTGAGAGGTTCAGTTCCTTTAGCTATACCTAGTATCATGTTGAGAAGGCTGGCGGTGGGTAAAGTTGATTTGCTGTCGACGATAAGGTGCTTAGATCTAAGAAATAGAGTCGAAGTGTTTCTCCATGGTGGTGATGAAAATAATAGAGGGACATTCGTGTTGATCGGTGACTCTACAGACCCTGCAGGACATCAGGGCGAAACTATTCAAGTTTTGAGCAGGAGATTTAGAAGCAGCGGAGGATGCGTAGCTATTTTAAGTGGTAAGAATACAGTAGAATGAAACAAACAATTGTGCATTATTTAACACAGTTACAAAAGATTGCAAGGAAGTTCTGTCGAGTGAACTATGGAGGAAACCTAATGACTCCAATCTGTTAACTCCATATTTATCAATTGAATCATTCAGACCAGTTGTGAACAAAGTATTGATTTGTGTAAAGCTTACTGCTGTAGCTTACCAAACTATGTTAAACCATAGGTTACTCTGTATCTAGGAATACATCCAGTGTTCTGTCTTTCACAGGTGGTTTCTGTGCGTTCAGAGATAAATATCCTGAGTGGTGCGAAGGCAGTCAAGTTGGCGGGGAATGCCCTCCAGGCCAGGACTCTAACGAAGGTGAATTGATGGGTCTCAGGTCCCTTCGAATATCCACTCCACCGACAAGGTCTTATTCAGATTCCGACAGTGATAGTACATGCGATTCTGTTGGTTCGTATATGTTTGTGCTCGCACGAGGAAACTAACAATTTTGGAAGGTTTAACAAAGTTACCTTGATATTCTCCAGGACCCGACGACGACAAAGACTTTCCGGTCGAAATTTTGCGCCATTTGTATCTCGGGAACGCAGCCAATAGCATGGACAGGGAAGCGTTAGCGCGTCACAGGATACAATACATTCTCAACGTAACCCCGGATTTGCCAAATGTATTTGAAAGCGCTGGTTCGATAAAATACATGCAAATACCCATAAGCGATCACTGGAGCCAGAACTTGGCTAGTTTCTTTCCGCAAGCAATTCAATTCATTGGTGAGTGTAATGATTGTACACCCACATAATCAAGGAAATCACTTTATAACCAGTTCACATCGAGACTAAATACCAATAGAAAAGAATTTGCAGTTTCTCAGGACACTGAAATGTGTTTCAAACTTTCAGAGGAAGCACGGAACTCGGAGAAAGGAGTGCTGGTTCACTGTTTAGCCGGAGTGTCGCGGTCCGTCACGATTACCGTAGCCTATCTAATGCACAAGTGTAGTCTCAGTCTAAACGATGCTTTTAACCTAGTACGTAGTCGAAAGTCGAATGTCGCTCCGAATTTCCATTTTATGCAGCAGTTGCATAGCTTCGAGAAGGAGTTGAGAGACCGGGGCGACAGAAGCAGAGGTAACGACCAGAGATGCATCGGCGCGTGCAGACCTGGTGGTCCGTGCAACTGTCCCGCGCCCAGTTTCCTCAGTCCCATTGACCTGGGTCTGAGTCCTGATTCAGGTATAGAATTCGATAGATGGGCGGCTAGTACGCCGGCCGAATGAGACGGGCCAGGGGGGACCCAATATAAATTTTAGGTCCCTCCTAAACGTGGTGCCGTATGCCATATAGTATAAAAAAGAAAGGAAAAGCCCTAATTGAAGGGTACGGGAAACGAAATTTACATTCAGCTAGGAAAAACGACCCGATATCGTGTAAGAGAGATGCCAGGCGTAAATGTAGACGAGATCTGGGATACGTTTGAAATTGTTGAACGTGCGTTGAGCCTTTTTACTATTTTTCTATACACATTTTTTCGAACGACTTTGTAGGTTATGATTCTGTATTACCGTCTTAACACGTTGTCTGCTCGAGGTTCTGCTATTGGGAGGAATAGTTAAAAATCCATATTTTTTATTCATGTTTAGAAAAGTTTCTTCGACATTTATTAATATTTCGCTTCCATTTAAATAAAAATTACTTGTTACCTAATGATTTTTTTCCAAAACAATATTTAAAGTAACTGTTATTTTTGCTCTTTAGTTTGCACGATTGTCAATGGTTGTGTCACATTAATTATCGGTAACCATCCATGTCAGTCAACGTGCTAAATGGGACGGTTGAGCGATCTTTCATGCAACAGACGATTGTTTCTCCAAAATGCACTTCTACTGTATACCGGCTGTTATTGGTTTCTATATGAGACAGGTGTAACAATTGTTCTCGTAATTATTTATACGGTGTACGTCATGTTGTAATTTAGAGAGAAACACACAAATAGGATAGGGACTACGATGATTCTATGACATTTTTTCTAAGTTGCCACGGATAGACAATTAAACACTGAAAGTATTTTCTAATCGAGGAGGAGTGCCCTCTCAATGGCATGTCCCATCGTAATCGTATATTCTGAGATTATGCTTCCAAGCTCGAAGTTTTTACGTGCAGACCGTAATAGCGCCTGAAGATATACGTTGAATTAGTTAGTCAACACTACGTTGTCCCCTTTCCTCCCCGTATATATTTCTAGGGGTACACTTTTATACGTACATGCACTGTACTCTTGAAAGACGAGATCTATATTTTTAATACTTACTCCCTGAACCCTTCAATTAAAGAGGCTGTGTTTGTTTCTCATCGCAGACGAGATGCTTAACTGTGAAATGATAATGAAAAATTAAGTAATTCTCCTAATGGGATAAGTCGTCAACCAGGCAATCACGAAGTAGCTGAAGTAAAAAAAGAAATTACTGCTTGACACACATACACACACAAAACACTAAGTTTAAGTTATATCAGAGGTACAAAAGAGATTGAAAAATGTCTCGTACTCAACAGTAGATTATAAAGTAAATATATATATACATACACACATACCACACACATGTAAAGTAATTTGAAATTTGAGCGTAATTTTTGACATAGTTTTTCAATACACAAAAGTGACTTATCTTGAGAAGGGGTATTCTCCATGCATTCTGACTTTCCAAACCATGCAAAGTTGTGTATGTATAGAATATCTCGATTAAAGAAATCTACTACGGAATACATCGTATATATATACATATGAATCAGTGCATTTCTATGGGGCATTCCAAAATCTCTTCTACTTCCAACAAATAAAATCAGGGTCGTCGTATGTAGCCTAAAGAGAGTTTAGAAAAAGGTTACGATTCACAGATTTGAATGGCACAACCTAAATAGTATCGGCAATTGATTTCACCGTGGAATCTGATATAAGAATTATGGTAGATTTTTTAGTCGGTATATAAGCGAAAAGAGAATTTGTCTTCGAAATTTTGTATAGAATTTTTTTTTATACGGCGGTCTTGATCCTGCGCGTCGACGTGAGAATGCAACTTAATTGTATGCTGTACAGCGATTCGAAAACACTAAATTCTGAATTGTACGTGAGAATCACACAGCAGCACTGTTTCTACTGTCTCTACAGATCTCAGATATATATTTAAAATTATTTTTGTAAAAAACGAGGAAAAGCTAATCGCATATTTCACATTCCCACAATGAGCCACAATGACCTGATATAATTGTAAACTAAACTTTCATGTACTATACGTGTAATTGTTCATTGAACATTATTGAAATTAACATGTGTGTACACAGTGAATGTTATTTTTCATGTAATTAGCCACGAGAGCTATGTGGTAAAATGAATAATTCTTGACTATCGCGCGAGGGCGAGCATTGATAATACAAGTAAGGAAAATATATATTTGACGTTAATGTAATAACAATATTCTACTATTACACTGTTGTCTGTTGTACGTTTATTGAGCGCCACGCTCGAAAGATTTAATCAAATATTATGTATATTACATAAATTATTATTTTATATTCATCGTTGTACATATATTTTAATTAATTTACATTAGAAATACAACTTATCTTACCTGAACCGAGTATAAGCGACTATTCTTTATATATGAAAAAAAAAAAAAGAAGCGTACTTTCAGGCGCGTTTACTATTGGTCTTTGTATGAATGAAGATTGTCTCGGTTATGGCAAAATGTACTTTTATTAGTAATGAGAAATTATAATATTTTAATCGTCGAACTGCAAAAAATATAAGAAACCTATTTAACGAGACAAGTATGTTTGTTAAATATAATGTTAGTTACTCAAGTCTTGTGTTCGTAGTTGCATTTTTGTTTTTTTTCTGTTCTTTTCTTTTTTATAAATTTCCTATAATAACTTACATTTAAATGATTAAATTAATAATTTGCTTCGAACAATTAGCCAGCTTGTTCGACGAGATGTTCGCCTCGGACATTGTAGTTTGCAATATATTTAACGCGACTTCGGATTGTTGTACCGCTTTTATCAAATCGTCACGGTCTTTGGACTCTGATGTACACAAAAGCGTACCAAGTCCCACCAGAGTCCTGAAAACCGCTTCAGGTTCGCCTAACCGTGGTAAAATCTTGAACATCGTGTTCAAGCATTGCGCCCTACCAAATACGTCATTGTACTTATTTAAGGCCACAGTTAAATTCAATACATACGTTGACATGGCCACCTGAAAATACGTGGTGAATTAATTCTTATAGAGTTCATCGGATCAAGCGTTCATCCATTCTGATTATTCGTACCTGATTGTTTTTACTTCCAAGGGATCCCAAGTTCGACAAAAGTTCTAATATTTCATCTTTCGAACTGAGACAAAGTTTCTCCCCTTTCTCGTGAGAGAACATATTTGCGAGCAAACGAAACGTGAGCATTTGATTGGACGCAGACGCTCCCGGTTTTATGTGCTTTTTTATAATCTGCAACAGCTCGTCCGTGCACAGAACGTCATTAACGTCTTTAGAAAGCACAACGAGTCTTGTTATATCCAGCACAGGGAACAACACATCGTCTGGCCAATTCAAAAGTGTTCTCAGAGTATTCAAAGCATCTGTTCTCAGTTCGGGAACGTGGTCCCCGGTGAGCTTCATTAAACCGTCCAGTTTATCGTCCGATATCTTAAAAACTTCAGCTTGCTTCGAGTTCAATTCGCGTAATTTATCTGCGAGAAAGAAAGCAATTAGAATCTCTTAATAGCCGTGATAAAATATTCAGAAAACAAATTACAAGTACCTAAGATAGCAGACAGATTAGCCTGCTCTATCTTCAAATACTTTGTATGAGGAATATAAGAAGGAGCTAAAGAGGTATCCGAGGAATCAAGTATTCCTGTTCTCGGAGGTTCCTGTTCCGTAGTATTTGTCGCCGATCGAGGAATGTATCTGGTTCCTCCCGTAAAAGGATCAGCGTACTGAGCACCGCTGCTCACGACTGGCGCGTTTTGGGAATTTTTCATTATAAAATTCGCTATCTGGAAACCAAGATCCGTTGTTAGAAAATCGTCAAATGAACAGTATCAAGCACCTTCTGAATCGTGTACCTGATCTAAGAACATTTGACTAAGATCATTATCATGTAGAAATTTCTGTGCAACGCGCCATGGATCTTGGCCGTTATTATACGGCAATTTCAACGGCGGGACACCGTCCTGTATGTCAACCGAGAATACATAATCGTATTCTATTCCGTTGTAAAGCTGTTTCCCAGACGTGGCCGCGCTACCACCAGTTGCGCCCATAACGTCGCCAATCCTGATCCACCTTTGCTCGCTTTGCGACCAACTGTACGCTCGAACTGTACCGTCATCGTTCACAATTTTCGTTTGACCGTCTTTCTGACCAGGTTGCTGCAACGCCTTCGCGTCTGGTAAACTGTTAACGCATAAGTTAAAATTGTTTATCGATCATTAATCAATTTTCTTATACTTTCCCCCTAGTAATTCTATACTCACTCTTTAATCTTGATCCCTCCCAACTCTTGCTGAGCGTTCAGCTTCATATTGGCTACTTCCTGTTCGAATTCCTGTAATGTTTCCGGATCCGCGTATCGTTCTGGATCACAGGAGAATATCCTGACAACACCGTCAGAACTTCCAGCAACTATGTCACCGTTCGGGAACAAATCGATACACCATACTGACTGAGTTGGCAACGTAATAGTCTGACTTATCTCACTGTTATGCCATACCCTGATTGTTCTATCTTCACCCGACGTGAATACGTTCGTACCATTGTCCCTCGATAAAATGCTGTATATGTAATTCTCGTGTCCGCAATACGTTCCTAAACAACTGCCGAGGGACGCGTTCCAGTGACGGACAGTGGCGTCATTGGCGCACGTTAAAAATTCATTCTCGTTTACCGCGGATATGTCACGAACACAATCAGTATGTCCAGTTAATTTGTGGCGTATGGAACCGTCGCTCGTCCACACTATAACCAACTTATCCGCGGATCCAGTTACAATGGACCGGTCTAATAAATCCGCTACGCACCACACAGCTGCGGTGTGACCTACCATACTCAACTGTGGTTTACTCAAATCATTGGTGTCCCACAATTTGGCGCTAAAGTCCCACGAACTCGAGAGGAATGTTCCTTCCCTTTTGCCTGCCTTTAACTTGCATACAGTGTCTTGATGAGCTTTTATAACGTGCAATGGTTCCACTTCATCCTGCATGTAGACACGTATGACTTTGTCATTGCTGCCTGTTACAATGAAGCCTGTGGGATTCCTTTCGGAGGGATTTATAACGCACACAGAACTAACAAAATTCGTGTGTCCCTTGAGCGTAGCAGCATGCACATAGTCTCTGCCATTTCTGGAAAATGTTAATGCGACGGTTATTTCATTGTTTCGATTAGAATCAGGTGGTGTGAAGACAAAAAGTTATTCTATCATGCCTCTCGCACTTTGAACGGACAGAATATTAATTGTAACTTCCGAAGCCTTGTTGTTTAATTTAACTCGATATACTTGGAGAATATTTAAATCGCACGGGATCGAGAAGTTTCAGCGGCTAAGAATCGTTCGTGTGCGCCAGTTAAATATTAAAAACAAATGTATCGACAGGTTAAATACCCGGATGGTTTCCATACACAGGCCGTTTTGTCCCGGGAAGTCGAGACAACGGTTCCATCCGCAAACCTAGCCACGGCCCTCACGTCAGACGTGTGTCCGAAAAGTGAGGTCCTCAACTTATAGCACGGCCTAGCCATGGTATTTTGACGTCCTAACGAAACACGCGTATTTCCCTGAATCATGTACCGTGCGAATCTCTTGGAATCTCTTTCCGACTGGGGTACATTACACAGGACAAATGCAATTGGTTTTGACAAGCCGTTCGAGCATGCGTCATGCTTGTCGCTGCGTTCATGGAACTACAATAGGAAATTTCTCTGGGCAGAAAAAATCATGACAGAAACTGATTGATATCTTCGACAGTGATGCTAGAATATGCTACGGTATTGTTAGATTTTAGAATGGGAAATAAGAAAGAATACATGTCGCACAAGTAGCGATGAAAATACTTGGTAACTCGTGAGTTACCAGGGAACGTGAGAGCTCTTTCTTATGTCGCATTATTCGATGGCATGTGACATTACATTTCTGCCAGCGATGCTGAATCATTTGTTGAAATCCACCGGATCGCTATTGTGTATTGACAAGTGATGGATATCGAGTTTTTAATTAACATTTCATTCTTTTTACATACATTATACCGAAAAATAATTGAAACGATCCGCTGCGCCATCTACGGCGAAACACTCAAGCTACTGGCCAATTAGTACCACATTCTTGATCATAGATGGCACCGTTATCCATTATAAGAATTTAGTTTGAAAAATGAAATATTAATTAACAAATTTGAACTAAATATATGCTGAATTAATATTGAATTATTCACTGAAATTTTCTTTACTTCTAGTAATCTTTGAGTTAATAATAAAATGATTATTTACATGATATTGTGGCTCCATCTGAGATCACAAAGGTGGTACTAATTGGTTAATAGCTTTGTCATTTTCCCGTAGGTGGTGCCACTAGTAGTTTGACCACATTTATGAATACAAGCGGCAAACATTTTTAACTGCAATTTCTACGGTTTTTTTTAATATAATTTCCAAAATGATTAGTATACCATTGAATATTATTATTTAAGAGGGGGATCTCGTTCCGATGAGTTTCCTATGTTGTCGGATTAGGTTAGAAAACTTAATTTGCCTATCGTTCACAGTAAAGTAAATTTCAATCGCGCGGTTCACCAATGGATCATACAAATGTCATTTCCGATAGAAGCGAAAGCTTCCGTTTGGTTACGTGTTGTATATATGGAGCCGCTAATCTAAATTGATCGAAGTCCGTGGAACTGACCGGTGTGTCTCGTGGCAAGTGGTTTTTGCGTACGGTGAACGATGAAATTCACGGATAAGTTCCTCTATTTCTTCGCGATAGTCGGCATCGCGAACGCCGGTGGACCCACCCTTGTTTTACTCGATAATTTAGCCATCAAAGAAACGCATTCCATATTCTTCAAGACGTTACAAGGTACGTAAACATTCGGCTATTTTCAGCGAAAATACCGTTCATTGACAGCAGCTTCAGACTTACTGTTTCTCCAGGTACTAGAAACGAATTATGTTTCTATATAATGTTTAAGCTAATTCACATTAAAAAATATTTATTTTATAGAAACCAGAGTAGAGGAAAATTTTTCAAGAAATTTATAGAATTGAAAATAATAGAAAGATATTAATCTTTGTCGGCGGTTTCATTTCAGTGCACTTCATCTTTTCTTATTCGAAAATCTATGATCTACTTACTTGTAAAGTTTTACGCTCGTGTGCACAAGCTTTGGCTGCTCAGAAAAATCAAGAGTATAAGCTATAGTATACTAGACCAAGCACAGCTGATGGATCTATTGTGTGTGCCCCAGTACTAGGTAAAAGAATAATAATTCCATTGGTTATTATCCTCACATCAGTTCCTCTTTATTTACAAAATCTAATTTCAGATGGAATTCGGGCAAGCAATAACCAAAAGTTTCTGAATGATCACTTTTAGTTGATCCAATTCAATCTTGGTTGATCCAATTCAATCTTCTATCGACCATCAGCTGTGTTAAATCAAAAATACAAATAGTACCCCATTGGTTACGCTAATATTGGAATCAGAAACTGTTTCTCTTAAACCTTGTGAACAGTTATAGGATACATAACAAATTTAAGTTTATACTTATGGCTATTACACGATTCTGTTTCAGATAGTGGATACACATTGACATTCAAATTAGCAGATGATGCTAATCTGCAGCTGGCCAAGTACAGAGAATATCTGTACGAACATTTGATCATATTCGCACCGACCGTGGAAGAATTCGGCGGCGCTTTGAGCGTGGAAGCAGTGACCGATTTCATCGATGGCGGTGGTAACGTTTTGGTCGCCGGTTCCTCTCAGACCGGGGACGCGTTGCACGAGCTGGCATCCGAATGTGGCTTCGAGATCGATGAGGACGGTTCTGCGGTCATAGATCATTTGAATTATGACATTTCCGACAATGGATACCACACCAAAATAGTCGCAGATTCATCGAACCTGATCGATGCGCCTGTAATCGTTGGAAACAAGAACGTGGAACCTTTGCTTTATCAGGGGACCGGTATAGTTGCGGAAGTAGACAATCCGTTAATCCTACGTCTGCTGACAGCGTCTAGTTCAGCGTACTCGTACAATCCTCAGAATCCTATAAAGGATTACCCTCATGCGGTCGGGAAGAACACGCTGCTGATCGCAGCTCTTCAAGCCAGAAACAATGCTCGAGTCGTATTCTCTGGCTCGTTGTACTTCTTCAGTGATGAAGCTTTTACCAGTCCTATTCAGAAGGCTCAAGGTGAGAACAACTTTGAAACAGGAACCTCTTTTCTTCAGTACAGTAAATCCTCAATGAGTGTTTGAAGGCTCCTCGGCATTGAACATTAAATATTTCATGAATTACTAGCCGTATGGGGCTGAAACAAATATTGTTGGCTTGAGAATTCCAAGCTCTATCGTGTGCTGGGGACCTCTTCATGTCAGTGAGGAGCCTTCGAACACTCATCGAGGACTTACTGTACATATATTCATGATTCCACACGTCCCCCTTTAGTTTGCTCTCGGAACGTACAATTGGCATAGTAATTATACATTTAATAAACTTTCTAGGCGGCCAGAATTACGAAAAGTCTGGAAACGAAGCTGTTGCAACAACAATTGCCCGGTGGGTGTTTAAAGAGAACGGCGTGATACGTGTTTCGTCGGTTCACCATCACCGAGTTGGAGAGACTGAACCACCGGCAGCTTACACAATCATGGATGACGTTGTCTATTCGATCGATGTTCAGAAACTTTCCGGGGATAAATGGATCCCATACGAAGCGAACGATCTGCAGTTGGAGTTCGTTCGAATCGATCCGTTTGTCCGTATGACGATGAAACCGGTAGGAAACGGCCGTTACGAGGCGAGATTCAAAATCCCGGATGTATACGGGGTGTACCAGTTCAAAGTAGACTACACTCGTATCGGTTTGACCCATCTGTACAGTACAACGCAAGTGTCTGTCCGTCCTTTGCAACACACCCAGTACGAACGCTTTATACCGAGTGCATTCCCATACTACGTGAGCGCGTTCTCGATGATGGGTGGCGTATTTTTATTCTCCCTTGTGTTCCTCCACTATAAGGAGGACACGAAACCAAAGTCTGAATAAATTCCTTGTAGTTTGTTAAGAGTTCATAAATGTACGGGTCATCGCAAAAGTCTTGACGAAGATCGTTTCAATGATGGAGGAAGTGTCGTTGAAAATAACGGTGATCGTGTAATTGATTAGGAAAGAGTATTCCGTATTGATTCGTTTTTGTTTTAAGATCGTATCAACACTATTGCGATGACAGAATAATTTACAGTCAGCTAAACACGAATGTAATACAGTAGTGTCTCGATGAGTGCGACAACTCCACTTGGGAGCATTCATGGCAAGGCGGGAAGGTTTTCAGCCTCATAAATTTGTTTTTTTGCCCAAGGCTGAGCCGCTGCTTAGCTTCTGTTTACTCTTATTTGATTGATTTCACAGGGGGTCTCCCCCCAATGGTAGGAATAACGCCGTTGCTTGTGTCGCATTCATCGAAGGATTACTGTAGCATTTTCCTAATGTATCTATACGTTCAGAAGAAGAAGGTGCTTGATCAGACATTAAACGAGCTGCGAGTGTTCACGATGCATAAGGCACCAGTGCTGTATAACATTTCTATTTATTTAATAAAATATTGAAATGTGGAGAGTTGTAATTTGATAGTAAAACGCATCAGCATTATGCACTTTGTTTACGATTTTGGGCGACTTTGAGCAATGGTTTTATAATTATTATAACAAATGGAGGAAAAAGAACTGAAATAATTATCTGTATGGTTAGTTGTTCAGGATATCCTAACTTAGATCAGTGAATGTTTAAGCCAATAATTATCGCGTGGGACGTTCAAAAAGAGCTTTCTTATTGGTAGTTAAAAGTGCATCTCACTTGCATGAGCAAACGAGCTTAAATTGGACAAAGTAATGCTCACGAATTCCCTTCTATTATCAAACGAACAGGAAGATTCTAAATAGACGTAGATTTTTACTCAATGATGTAATCGATCATTTCTCCAATAGGCTCCTAAATCATAGAGAATTCCTAACTGTTGATCGCCAGTGCGACATCACACGACAGTCTAATAATAATATTCGCGTATCTACATAGCCTGGCAATTAAATTAAAATCTTACGCTGTACGAAACTTGAACGTGAAATTACGTACAATAGTGAAAGAAATCTAAAGTTTGAATGTTTTATCGGCAATGTCGCGATCTTTCGAAACAGTTTCAACTGTCGTTGCACGATCGATGCATCATTGTTTGCTATGACTCCTGGTGTTAACGGAGAATTTCGAGGTTCTCGGCGTGAACGCGATAACGATTTAACATAAAAGATGCTGTTTCGATTTGAGGACAATCGTGCCTTGTCACCAGTACGATTCACGAATGCTGTTATTTCGGAGATTTCGAAAGTTTGAATGAAATTCAAACAGGATAACCTAGTCAGGTTATATTTATGCCTGCTTCTGTATATACGTTCGTTTTCGTAGCTGTTAAGGGGCGCCCTCGAATTTCTCAAAATGTTGGAAGGACTCGTGGCCTGGGTGTTGAATAATTATCTCGGGAAATATGTCGAGAATCTGAATACAGATCAATTGAGCATAGCTCTATTGTCAGGTGAGGTTATGCTTCCCCTCTGTATCATATTCCTTTATTTTTGTATCGGAACGTTTGATTGACAACAATTGCTTGTTCATTGTACGTTCACAATGGTTCTTCAACGTGACCGACTCGATGTGTATCGTGTCGATATTTCTGTTAAAGAGGCTGATTTTTCTCACTTATAAATCGAATAAATTATTAAATTTGAATTATGTGGAAATAATAATGGAAATTTGTATTTTGCAGGGGAAGTTGAGTTGGAGAATCTTCCTTTAAAGAAAGATGCGTTACGTCACATTGGATTACCGATTGAAATAAAAGCTGGATTCATTGGGAAAGTCAGGGTGCAAGTGCCTGTTCGTCAAATAAGAACAGCATCCTGGGTTATAGTAATAGAACAGTTGTATTTAGTGGCTGGACCAATAAGTCTGAGCGAGGTAAACGCACGTGACAATTCTCTTACGTTATTCGTTGTTCTGTGTATCGATCCTGAATCGTATTTTGCAGTTCGATAATGAAGTGGAGGAACAAGCAATTTTAGAATATAAATTGAGTCGTTTAGACTCTTTAGAAGCGAGGTGGAGGACGGACACAGATCGGGATCCTGGTTATTATGCCACTAGTTATAGTTCTTGGGTGAATTATGGCACCTCCTTAGTAACAAATATCATTGAAAATTTGCAATTCAATATCAAAGATGTCCACATAAGATACGAAGATGGAGTGACATTATCAGATGGTAAAGGAATAGATTTATTCGACTGAACAGCAAAACATATTAATTAGTAAGACGAATACGATTCTAATTCGTAGGTAGTGGTATTGCTCTTGGCATAACTATAGGATCGTTGAATGCACAAAGTTGCGATGCTAGTTGGATACCCGGATCCACTTCGTGGAACCTTACGGACGCGTCCTTCAAGCTCATGGAGCTCGATAGGCTGTCTGTCTACTGGAATCACCTGAAAACAGACGAGTTTTTTGGGTGTCTCAATCTCGGTGATTTAGCTGTATATATTTATTTTTATAAATTACCCGACTAACATCGTACAAAATATTGGCCAATGGTTCTCTGGGTGTAACCTTTTCTTCCCAATTAGATCGCCATGAGCGAGCCAAAGAACACAATCAAGAAGCACATTCTGTCGCCTGTGAACGCAAGAGCGTCTATCAAAAGGGACAGATCCGAACGACCATTGAGATCCGCGAATAAACCAAGAATCGTAGTAGATCTTCAGCTGGACGATGTCCCGTTATGCATTACAGACGTGAGTTGTCGAAACTGAGTATCAACTATCGTGTTATTACAACAAAGACGTTGTCGTCCAGCAGTCAATGTCTCTACTGCGCCCAGGGAATGGTGGAAGTACGCAGCAAGGTGTCATATTGGTAGGGAAACTCTGAAACCGAAACCAACATGGGAGGACATGCTCCGAAGGGGCAAGGAGAATATCTCGTACGTCGAGAGCTACACAAAGTTGCTAGGTAACTGTACAATTATATACGTCTCTTCGATAATTTTTTTCAGTGTTAACTGTGACCTTTCCACAGGAACGCCAACCAGTATTTTACCTTTGGACGTGAAGCAGTTAAAGGAGAAGGTAGAACAGGAACGAAGTTTTGACGAGCTTCGGGTGTTGAGAGAGATAGCGATGTACAGAGTCAAACCGCCGAAACCAGTTCAGAATTCAAACCAGAACGTACCACAACCGCGTGGGATGCTTGAACAATGGTTCCCACAGTGGTGGGGATGGTACTCGAAGGTGCCCAATACAAACACCCAAAGCACATCGTCCACCTTCGACGGGGAACTTCTGGACGTTCTGGCGGACACGGTGGACGACGACACGTTGCTCCGTCGCGACACAGTGTTCGGACAGTTCAATTTCACGTTGTCGAAGGGCACCGTGTCCTTCTGCACAACAAAGGCCGACAACGAGCTCACGAAGACCGTCGTAGAGCTGCAATTCGAACGGGTGAATCTGAGCTACGAGTCGAGGCCTAGGTCCGGGTCGCACAAGTTCACCATAAGTCTGGGAGCATTGTATTTGCACGATTACCTAACGGAGAATTCGAGTTTTCCGATTCTGGTGCAGCCCCAAGTACTGCCGACCATCACTGCCCGTGCCCGTAGCTCTTCGGAGAAGCTGACAAGTCAATTGCCGCAACATCTCTTCGAGCTGACCTACGAGAAACAGCCTCTACACGTGACTGCCGATCATTCCCTGCACGTGAACAGCAGATCGTTGGACGTGGTGTACAATCCAGCTGTGATATACTGGCTGATCGATTTCATGTGCGAGCCTCACAGATCGTCCTCCAATCAGAGGCTACAGGCGATGAAACGTCGAACCCGTAGACAGCTAATGAAGAACTGGGAGCAAATATTGGACGGTGATTTTGTCTACCGTTCATCGTGGGACCTGCAGCTCAACATATCCGCGCCTCAGATTTTACTGGTAGAAAATTTCACGGATCCGAACGCTACAGTTGTTGTTGTTGATTTTGGCAAGCTTCATTTATCCAATACCGTGCAAACCAACGAGGTGGTTATAAAGCCAGGCTCAGGCACAAATAGTGACGACGAAGACGAACGATTCGAGACACCTTGCTCGACACCTCCAGGCAGCCAAGAGAACGGTTCCGTTCAGGACTTTCAGTCTATATCGGAAACAGCGTTGCATCAAAAGTTATACGATCATTACACCATCAATCTGGTTGACCTGCAGATTCTAGTCGGTAAAGTGAAGGATAACTGGAAGCACGGCAGGACCAGAGGCATGTCCAGTTTACACGTGCTGGAGCGTTTCAATATATCGTTGCAGATCGAAAGACGCGTCTTCAACACTTCAGACCCTCATCTTCCGTCCGTGACGGTATCTGGGAATTTACCAAGACTAGTTGTCCACGTGAACGAACAAAAAGTAGAGGCGATCAGGTTGATGTACAATTTACTTTCAAGCTTCTCCAGATCCACAGGAATTTCCCAGACGGACGTGGTCGCCGTGGAGCCGGAAAGTCCGAAGAAAGAAGAGACCACGGACAAGTCCATGAGCCATGTGATGATGGTGCAGTTTATTATCGACCAGGTCACGTTTGAGCTGCAATCCAGAGGACGCAGCGTGGCGGAATTGCAAGTATCCGGCGTCAGAGCCGCCTTCAGTAAACGGACAACCGACGTCAGCGTTTCATTGTCCGTTCATGGTCTGCTTCTTGTCGACGCACTTCAAGAATTCGGCCCAGATTTTGAATTACTAGTAGCCAGTCATAAACACGTAGGGATGGACAGTATTTCTGGAAGCCTGAGGGACTCTGAACCGACGTCCCCTGTCTCCCCAGTATCCCCTGGATCCCCTGATCCAGCGATACCAAGAAGATTAACCTCCCCAGTAGCTCTGACCAACGCTTTGTCGACCTTGGCCAGCAGATCCAAGAATCCACAGTCACCCAGAAACAATTCGTTCATCGAATTGGACAGGATGGATTCGGAGGCGTTGATCGTTATCGAGTTAACGTTGGTGTATGACACCTTAGAGCCTCTGAGGTTCGCCAATATACAGTTCAATAACCTAGACATCATCGCCAATCAGGAGACCATAGTAGAGATTATGGGTTTCTTCAGGAGGATATTCCCGTCTCGAAAAATGCGGCCAGGAAGCATAGAGCGACAGGAATCTCTTTCTAGTCAAACGGTGGAGTCCAAGGACACGACCAGAACCGAGATAACGTTCGATTTTCATCGATTGAATGTTCTGCTTCTTAGGGCGGTGATGCATGATAATCACCTGGTGGGCCAGAAAATCGCCACTGCGACCATGTGCGATGCCCGTATACAGGCGACTTTGGCGGTGAAAACCTCGATCTCTGGATCCTTAGGAGGTCTGCAGGTGTTCGATCAGACGTTGACTGGCAAAACGCATCAAAGGATTGTCAGTGTTGGGAGGGATCCAATCGCGGATCCACCGAAACAACCACTGGAGCATTTCGCCCATTTATCGAATCAGTCTGAGGCGTTGAGATTCTCTGCGTATCGATGCACCAAGCAGAACGCACAACAGCAAGATGGAACAGAGACCCAGATCGATTTGACAATACGTATAGGAAGCGTGTGGTATACCCATGCCCCACATTTGCTGTCCGAGCTCCGCTCCTGCGCTGATGAATTCAAACAGTATTTAAAGAACCTTGCCCGCCAGATCAGCGCAGCGGCCACAGACATGGCCATCGGTCTGGTGAACGCTGAGGACTGGTCGATACCGCAACGTAGACGTCTGCCAAGTCTCTCAATGGACCTGGAGACATCAGGGAGTCTGTCTCTGAATCTGGACATCCTTCTGGACAGTCCTGTGTTAGTGATACCCAGATCGTCCCACAGTCGCCAGGTGTTTGTCGCTCACCTGGGCACCATGTCCCTGCAGCACGAACCAAACTTGGGTTCTATGGCGAAGCACAAGCTAACTTTGGAAGTTAGGGACATGAATCTATATTCTCTGGAGATATCGTCGAATGTCAGTCAGGTACAAAACAATCTGCCTTTAAGGGCCGAACAAATGTACTCTTGCAAAGAGTCTGGTAAGCCAATGCTGCACAATACGGTGATAAAGATTGTGGTTGAGATAGAGAACACGTTGGCGCAGAGTCCTGGCTTCTTTCTGGACAATGAGTTCTCCAATAATCCGGTTGTTCAAGTCCAGGGGGTCGTAATGACCCCGCTGAAAGTGTCCCTATCACGGGGACAGTATGAACAATTATTGGACACGATGAACCGTATGTTCTCGATGCCGGTAACCGTGCCAGTTGTCCAGAAATCGCAAGCCATAAACAAGGTACCCAATTATTCGGATAAGCTGGACGTTTTTATTAAGGTGTTATTCGAGCTGCCAACACTCAGTGTGGAATTGAAGCAAGGCTTTCTGGAGCAGCCTTTGGTTGAACTGTCCATGAGGGATTTCGTGGTGAAGTATGAGAAGCTCCATAAAAATGGGTCCATTGTTCAAGTTGCTCTACGCTCTTTGCTCATGGAGGATCTTCTGTGTCCAGTTGGCTCGCGTCATCGTTGCATGATGCAGTCCTCGGCACCAACACGTGCCAAGCTTCCTGCTGGTGTCTCAAAGTCTTGTCCGGATTTCGCGTTCGTCCAGCAGTTCAGAAGCGAATTTGGAAGAGCCAGTCTGCCCGACAGATTGGAGACTGACACTTTGTATGGTACAATTCCTGCTCACTGGCGTAGGAAACCAGTGTCCCTGGCAGACACTCCGAATACACCACCTCCATCACCTGGAGCTTCCACCAGCGAAGAGAATTTGATACTGATGAGTATCACCATCGCAGATCCGCATCCTGATCAGTTAAGGGAGGAGCAATTTCAACAGAAGACTGTGACTGTGGACTTCAATTGTCTGGACCTTATAATAAGCGTGGAGTCTTGGATGGTGGTCTTCGACTTCTTCGGATTCGCTGGACCATCCAGAACCAACCCCAAACTAACCATGCACCACACCTCCATCGATGTGGACCAGTTGGACAAGTCTGACAGCCTGCCACTTCGATCAGAAATTGAGATTGAGGTTAGGTCGTTGACGTTAGTGTTGATACAGTCTGAAAAGGAAATTGCTAAAGCCAATGTATCCGATGCCACTATGCATATTTTAAAGGTGAATGGGAAGACTAAGGTGTCAGGTTCGTTGGGATCCATGTCCTTGCTGGATCTTACGCCACATGGTAGGTTTTACAGAGAGAGGTTTCTGTCCTCCGGTAGGAAAGCTCTGAACTTTCAGTATTCCAGTTATGTGGACTCTGAGAAACGACCATACGATGCTCAATTGAAACTAGAAATGTCTGCAGTTCATTATGTGCACACTCAGCGATTCGTGGCGGAGCTTCAGGCGTTCTTTGTTCATTTTTCTCAGCTTTGGACCATCATGGCGAATTTAAGAGCTGGCATCGGGGCTATTATAGACACCAATAAACGAAGCATGCGGTTGTCGTTGGAACTTCATGCAGGAGCACCTGTGATACTATTGCCAGTTAGTTCCAGGTCCGACGAACTGATACTATTGAATCTGGGAGAGCTCACTGCTCACAATGAGTTTACCACTTCGGATGTTATAAACAAGTGCATGTTGGACGTGATGTATCTCGAGCTGGTTCACATGGATGTCTACGCTGCCAGAAGAATACACTGCGACGAACAGAACGAGGACGTGGACACATTAGTTGTCGGTGGGTTTCTTGTCAAGAAACTTGGATCATCGTTGCTGACTGAGATGTGCCACCTGAAGCTACGCATTGAAAGGAATCTGGATACCTACATCAGCAGAGATATACCAGACCTAAGTATACATGGTACCTTGTCAACGATGGACTGTGCTTTGGACCCTGCCCAGTACATGCTGATTCGAGGTCTACTGTCCTATAACATTGGGGAGAATCTGGACGACCTGCGACAATTCATGCAAGACTTGGACCAGACAGTCGAGTACACCACGAACAACGTGGACAATCGAGAGAAGATCTGGAAGAAGACGTGCATAACCCTTGAATTGTTGAACGTCACTGTGAAGTTACACCCCAATCACAATATTGCAGCGTTAGCCTGTATCAATTTCATAAAGTCCAGACTGACGTTGGACTCTTTGAGTGATGGATCGCAGGATATAGATCTGGTCTCCCAGGAGATACTGATCACAGACACACGGTTCCAGGATGAACCTGCCAGTAGACAATCGAACGTCTTCACAAGTATTCTACAACCTTTAAGAAATTCCAAGAATGAGAGTCGAGTGCAGGCTGAAGTGCATCACAGAAGACGCAAGGCCACCGCTGCAACGACCATTCTGGTGCACAGTATGCGACTGACCGCCATATTGGACTGGTGGGAAGCTGTCAGGGACTTTCTGGTGTTGAATTCCCCAGAACCTGAGCCTATTCTTGGGATAGCCCAGGTGACCGCAGAGTCTAGCCAAGAGAACGAGAGCAGTGCTTCAAGCACAATACCGCTTGAATTGAAGATCAATATTACCGATTCTGAATTGGTGATTGTGGAGGACACATCAGTCTCTGACACCAATGCTGTAATCCTAAAGAGTACTGCTGTCCTGTCTTACAGATCTGTGCCTCTGGATGGAGAGAAGCCACTTTCCTGCAATTTGTCCCATTGCGAACTGTTCTCCTGTATTCTTGGACTGGAGGAAGAAACCGCCCTGTCTATCATTGATCCTGTTGGAGCCAGCCTGGACCTAACACAGGAGAAGTGTCTGGAAATACAGCTTCAGCCATTATGCGTGAGATTGAGCTATCATGATATAACAATGTTCTCCAGGATGCTTAGCTCCCTCCCGAAACAGACACTGGTGGCAAAACAACGCTCCAATGAAGTCCTGACCACCACGGAGAGGCAGGTGCAGAAGCTGACAGCTCTAGGGTTTACAGAGCCTGATTGTAGAGCAGCGTTGAACCTTTGTAATGGTCAGTTGGATGATGCAGCTCTGTGGTTGACACAGAATGCAGTGCCCAATTCAGATCTGAACATCAAGAATGAATTCATTTTCCACACCGTGGAGGTACAAACGTCTTGTGCGAGGATATGCATCATAGATGATTGTAGAGACGCTGATGTGCCGCTGTTGGAGATCACGTTGCTGGATTTCAGCTTGAGACAGAATTGCACGGGACCAGGTCTGATGTCCTCCACGTTCAGTATAGATTATTATAACCGAGTTCTGAGTGGTTGGGAGCCATTTGTCGAACCGTGGCGTGCCACCGTTCAATGGGAACAGACATTGACCAACTCACTGAATCTGAAGAGGCTTCTAATGTCCATAGACTCACAGGACTCTGTCAACGTGAACATAACTTCAACGTTCATAGAGCTGATTGAGCTGGTCAAGAACAACTGGATGCAGGACTTCTACTTGACTTCATTGAAGGATATTAATGTGAATAAACCAGTTGGGAATGGACAAGCGTATCGTCGTCGACAGCCGTTCATACCGTTCGCATTGAAGAACGAGACTGGCTGTAAACTGTGGTTCAAGACCATCATTGCGACCGCGGACGACACCAAGGACGTGGGTCAGAATTTCAAAGCGAAGAACGTGTTTCAGAAGGACGACACGTGGATCGAAGTCATTCCAGGCGATACTGTCCCGTTCACTTTCGAAGGAAGAGGGAAATTAAGGCACAACACTACCCATACTGTCCGGAGACATCAGATCACAGTACTTGTCGATGGATGGAAGCCTGTGGACCCTGTCACTGTTGATCGTGTCGGGATATACTTCAGACATGCTTATGAAAACAGTAATAATACACAGGTAATTGGTGCATCATCCGTGAAATGTACTATATTTTATTCAATACTGTACCAGTTAGTACTTGACTACGTTACCAGTTTATCGAAAGGAAATAGTGGATTAGTTATTAGTGCACCTATTGTTGTACTATTCATTAAATGCTTGACATTTCAGTTTCAGATGTTAGTGCCCAAAGCTAGAATAGTATTCGCCGTTGAACTAGAAGGATCAGCCCGGAAACTAGTGACTGTCCGATCAGCTCTACAGATATCCAACAAATTAAGACACACGGTGGAGATCAAAATGGAGAAATCTCTAAATCAGTTCGATTGTAGGTGTCTCTTTTCTTATGCATGAAGTTACACCCAATTGCTTTCTAAATAACGGTATTCTTTTAGATCTACCCCTTACTTTGTCAGTTAGCGACAGAATTCTGCAAGTACCTGCACAATCCACGTTATCGGTACCATTGACCCATACCGGCCTAAAAATGTGTCTGAAACCGATAAATATGAATTATCTGTTCCAATATTGCGTGGAAACAATCGACTGGACAACAGTAAAGAAACCGTTAGAAGTTATAGAGAATCGCATCACGTGTCGAGCCAATCATAATAATATATTTAGGTGGGTTTCCATAGTGTTAAAGCGTTATACTTCAATGCGTTTACAAATTGATTATCATTCGTAGGATGTGCGTAGCAGTGATGCGTGATAATTATCCGCCAGATGGGGGATATATGCTGCCATCCCACACGATAAGTGTGATGGCTCCTATCATTTTGACCAATTTATTACCGCACGAGTTGTTGTTCGAGATTGGCGCGGAAAACGGTCGAATTCTACCTGGTGGCAACGCAGACATACACACGGTGAACATGGAAGAGCAGCTCGAAGTTACAGTGCAGATGGATGGTTACCCTGGATCAGGAACGGTGAGCGAATCATCGAGCGTTTAGACTTTATCAATATACCGTGATCCCTCGATGAATGCGACACGAGCAACGGCGCTGTTCCCACCATTGTGGGAGTCCCCCTGTGGAAGAAAACAGATCGGGGAGAAAACAGATTTATAAGGAGCTGAAAAACTTTCCTCCTTGTCACGAAGTGGACCCGAGTATGTCGCACTCATCGAGACATTACCGTGATAATTAGACACGAGCATACTTTGTTTTACAGATGATATTGCCACCGAATAATGGTAATTCGTTCACTGCTCGCCTCAGGCTAACGGACTCCAGCGGAAGAATATTATTCCTACACGCAGCTGTCAATATAGAAAAAGGTTCTGCCATACAGATTAACATTACAGCGCCTTATTGGATTATAAACAAAACAGGCTTGCCGCTGGTGTTCCGTCAAGAGGGCGTTGGTATCGAAGCAGCTGGACAGTTCGAAGAACACGAGAGAGCTAGAATGGTGGCTCCACTGTTGTTCTCTTTCAGTGACGAGGAAGCAAGCAGAACGTTGTCGGTGCGAGTCGGTACCTCGGTGCATCCGCAGGGGATACCACAGTGGTCCCAACACTTCCATCTGCAACCTGGCATACAAGTACGTGAACAGGTCCAGATTAAGACCTTTTGTAGCTCAGAGCTATCAAATTTTTGGGGGTCCCCTTGATTGAAAAGCGAGAGGCGGATTTTTTGTAATACAGCACAAGATACACAACTCTTAAAAAATCGAAATTTATTTTAAATAAAATTAAATAACATTTAATCATAACAAAATAGAAGGTTCATAACGACAGACCCCCTAGACTCCCCTTGATCCGGTGCTGTATGTGAATCGTTATCAATTGTGTATATTCGTAAGACGATACGTCAACTTCCGTTACACCTTTCAGGTGCACAGACTTCGAATATCATTGCGGGATGGTCGACCGGATATAGTGTATTTGATCAGCGTGGCCACTCGAACAGCAAGAGGAAAGTACAGAGCCACTACGGTGGTTACGTTGTCCCCTAGATATCAGTTGCACAATAAGTCAACGTACACTCTGGAACTGGCACAGAAATGCTTCACCACGACAGTCGTAAGTGAAAGTTTCAACTTCAAGCTGGTTGTTTGTTGTCCTGGAAGCTGCACACCCTTCGATTCCAGAGCCATCCGGATGCTCAGGCAACATACATCAGGACTATGCCCGACTGCCACATGCCTTTTCATTGGCCACGTCTCGACAAAGATTTGCTGCTGTGCGTCCGCATTATAGACGTGAAAGATTGCATGTGGTCGGGCGGTATCCGTCTGGACGACAATTATTCCTTGACAATTAATATCAGAGACGCTACCGGAAGGATGCATTTCCTTCGAGTGGACGTGGTGCTGCAGGAGAGCACGTATTTCATAGTGTTCACCGATGCTGACACTATGCCACCGCCTATAAGAGTGGATAACTTCTCAGAGGTTCCTTTGGTAGTCAATCAGGTAATTACGGATACAAGCTTGATTGCGAACACAGTTCAGGGGACGTTGACAGAAATATTTTACATTCCAATCATGGGATCTTATTTGCTAAGCCGTTCCACTGAATTAACAAGAAATTATTTTCAAGAGTACTCTTATAGGTTACGGTGCACGACAATTTACAATGGACCGTACGACCCCATTCGTCTGTGCCTTACGCCTTGGATGAGCCGATAGAGTCTGCTGCCTTGGTTTTAACCGCGCCTGGAGGTGTCACAGCCACCTACGATTTGAATATACTCGGAGAGGGTAGAGGATTGACCTACGAGAACTTTATCTACATCGCTTTCACTGGTAAACCTTATTATTGGTATCATCAGTTAATATTCATGTTACTAAAGTGAAATACCTAATTACTGCCACCTAGTTAGGTGGTAGTAATTGGGATGTCAGTAATTCGATTGAAAAATTATGTAACAATGTCGGTGTCATTTCTTAAAGTGTCAGTAATTGGGTCTTTTACCCTATTTGTATATTTACATTTTATTCGGCGCCAGGAACCTTTAAGAACTACTGCGATCTGGGGACAGGAGAATGTGGTTTAGATCCATTGGACGTCGAAACTCAGAGACTGGTTCTAGAAGCTGGTCCTGGAGGTTGGGTAGTTTTGAGGAGGAAACAATATGGCGCCAGATCACAGTTGTGGAGGATGACTGGCGATGGTCAGTTGCAGCATGAAGGTATGCAATGAGGAAATCTGATCCTTCCATTCCTTCAGGTTTCAACACATTACTCTAACATGATGTTCGGTTAATCAGGCTCCAGTCCACCCAGAGATAAGCACTCGAAAACTCCTGAGACTGTGCTGGTTCTGGATATAGCAGGCACAGCGCCTCAGCCGTTCACTTATTGTGCACTGGCGTTGAGGAAACCTGATCCTAGAAGGAGATCAACTCAAACCTGGCGATTCACCGATGACGGGAGGTTGTGCTGTGTGCACAAAAACATGTGTGTCCAGTCGAAAGACGGTTTCATGGGATTACACGAAGGTTCGACACGCGAAAACCATAATATTGTTCCGTTTCTTAGCGAAGCTTGTCTTTACCCCTTGTTTAATTTTCACACGTACATTTTTCTTTTATTTACATTCATTGCCATTCGAGATTCTACATCCTTGACGAAGCTTCCGTTTGTTTGATTTGCCCACTGATTATCATTACTGCCACGCTAATTGTTTCCATTGAAAATGCGAATGTCGAGTGAAGTCACTGGTAAAAGATAAGATACAAGATCGATCGATCTAGTTACGTGTTCCTGTTCTATGATTTCGTACCCCGTTTTACTTCAGAAAGTATACTGTTACTTGTACATCGAACCGTGAGGTTTACATTGATAATAAATGTTGCAGGCGGCTGTGTCGCCCGTTGGCAAATGTGTACGTATAGTTTCGGAGTACACTAGAGAATCGTCTCGTAAATTTACGTATAAGTATCATGAGCTAAAATTTTCGCTTGTTTTTTTTTTATGTCATCAGCGCCATGCGCATCAACTGTCTCTCTCAGCTATGCATGAAACGAAATGCTCTTTGTAAAATATATGTATACGTAACTTCGAGTCATTTATGCAGCCACTTAATCCTCCGAACGGATACACTTATCACGCATAGACTTGGTACTTATATTTTTTAGGGAGCGAGGCAGTGTTGGGCCCTCAAACGCACAGCAGTCCTCCACCTGTCGAGCAGCGTGTCGGAAGACAAAAATTGCGTCCAGGCTCTGGTTTCTTGTCCATTCGAGTAACGACTGACGGACCGACACGTGTGTTACAAGTACTGGACATCAAAGAAAGGGTATATATACTTGGCTTATAACCTTCAAAAGAGACATGCATCGAAACCACTATATACCTAAGTATTGATAAGTTCTTTTTCTTTTGTAGAAAAAGACATTCGCCTTGCTGGAAGAACGTGACTGGTCTCACATCGCGGTCAGTCACCGTCCAACTCAGATAAACACGAATGCGGAGAGTTTGAATTCCAGAGAGTTAGAGCTGAAGGTTAACCTAACAGCTGGAATAGGATTGTCGATCGTTTCTCGAAAACCTGTCGAGGAGTTGTTGTTCGCCAGGTTGGCTGCCATCTCGTTGGAGCTTGTACAGACCCCTGCGAATACCACTGTGGACTTGAGCATAGAGGACATACAAATTGACAATCAATTATTCGAAGCACAATGCACCTCCGTCTTATACGCGACACGACCGACACGTGCAGAAAGTGAACACAGACCAGCGATTCACGTGGTGGCTGAGAAGCTGAAGTCGAAGAATCAGAACGCTGAGATCTATAAACACGTGATCGTGAGCATAAAACCGCTCTGTATTCATTTAGAGGAGAGGCTGATCTTGAAACTGGCCGCCTTCGTTGGCGCTGGAAGATCCGAGTTAGAGGTGCCGATCGATGAGAACGACTTCAAAGCTCAACGATTCATCTCCGAGGTGTCTGCGGCGCACGCGAAACGATACTATTTCGGGGCATTGAAAATTGTCCCGAGTCAAATGAAACTGAGCGTGCTTACCACCACAAAGCTACCGCGGCATCTCCAAGCGATAAAGAGGCAGTTGGGCTTGACTCTGATCAAATTTGAGGACGCCACCATTGAATTGGAGCCGTTCATCAAGAAACATCCGTTTGAAAGTACTCAGTTTTTGGTTCATTCTATTATAAAACATTACAAAGACGACTTGAAGTGGCAGGCCGCGGTGATATTGGGATCCGTGGACTTCCTGGGCAATCCCCTTGGATTCGTCAACGACGTCACCGAAGGTGTTTCTGGTTTGATTTACGAAGGGAGCGTGAAGACGCTGGTAAAGAATGTGACCCATGGAATTTCGAACTCGGCGGCCAAGGTAACCGAGTCCTTGTCCGATGGACTAGGACGAGTCATAATGGACGAAAGGCACGAGGAAGCTAGACAGAGGATTCGAGCGAACACCGCGGGCAGCAGTGATCATTTGGTGGCCGGATTAAAGGGTTTCGGGTTTGGTTTATTGGGTGGCGTTACTAGCATATTCAAGCAGACGTACGACGGAGCTGCAAACGAAGGATTTCCAGTGCGTAAAGATATCTTTATTTTATATTTCATTCGCGGCGTAACGAATAATTAACAATTACAGGGCTTCTTCGCTGGTTTTGGCAAAGGAGTCGTTGGGACGATCACGAAACCGGTTGTGGGAGTTCTGGATCTTGCCACGGAGACCGCCACTGCTGTACGAGAAACGAGTAGAAGGTAGCAGAAGGATTTCAAGGCTCACACTTTCCAAAGTATTATTATTTATAGTATGATATACAGTAAATTATTCCTGGCGTGTTCCAGTGCCCATCGTACAATCCCTAAAAGGGACAGGCCTCCTCGTGTTGCAAGTGGGCCAGGTGGTTTGCTACCCCCTTACAATCGTCAACAGGCAGAGGGCCAAGAATTCCTTTACATGATAAGCGATCATGACCACTCAGAATTATGTGTATCCTACGAGTGTCTGCGTAGCGGAACGGAGAACTTGAGGGTGCTGGTATCCAACGAGAGAGTCCGTGTTATTTCCGGTGGTACCAAAGGGGTAGTGACCGAAGTCAGTTTGACGGATTTGTTGTATTGCCAGCCAACGCAGAAAGTGGAGAGTAACGGCACAACGTTGCACTATATAGAGTTAATATCCAGGTCAGATTCAGCGGTGGTTGTTACCATGGACGGGCCTGAACTCTTGAGGAGGCCTAAGGTTCGCTGTGATAACGAGGACGTGGCCAAACGAGTGGGTATCGATGTACTGTTGTTTATTTAAATAATAGTGATGTTTAATGTAAAATGTTTTACAGGTATCGCAACAGATTAACTACGCCAAGGGAATGCACGAGGAACGCAGTTTGACCCTAACCTCGTCGGACAACATGCTTGACGACGTTCAGTACTACAAATAGTCGCAGATGACCGACGTTTTATACTATGCGTTTAATGTATAGTCGGTGGAAATGATATAGTGTGGTCCTAAAGTTGACGTCTGACACACGGTTCCCCATTGATGTTACAGGATATCATTCAAGTTCAGTTCCTCGAGAAGATAATATTGATACCTAACCACTTTTCGCACTTTTTACGTTCGAGCAGCTATTGACGTGGTATAGAAATCGACTAACTACAATTTCAGTCAATACTTAACGGCCACTCTACATCTGTTTCACCAAGTATACCGTGGAATATTTCGTATGCTAGTCAGTCCTTCGGTTTCTATATTATTTCCTTCTATTTTCTTTCTTTAACAGTGCACATAACGATGCCTTACTACGCTTAAATTAGGTTGATTATAAGACTGATGCGAGGCACCATCTATGCTGCTGGGCGTCTCTGAAGCTTTCTCGAGAGCGTAATAGGAGAAACAATGTATATCGGTTTGACAATACACTTGGATGAAGACGTGAGAAAACGATTGTCGCACAGGTAGCACACACACACACATACACGTATACTTTTGATACCAATAACGAGACAGAAGGAAAGAGGGTGTCTTTTAAAGAGTGTACTTTTTTAAAAGTTAGAGTGAATGTATGTACACTCTAGTGTGTATATAATTATATATATACATAAGTACAACTTGTAAAATATAGGTGGATAAGATACACGTAAGTTCGTTACACGGGATCTACTTAAACCGATGCTTAAAAAGAGAAATAACGAGAAACCAAAGTTTTCACATAGGTTAGAAAGGATATTTATTTTCTATTAACGTGTTTGATAGTTTGCAAACTACTTCGGTTCGAACAAACGGTATTTTTTAATGGTGTTAATTGTAATAGGGGAATGCGTCACGCCGCTAACGAACGTATTAACTGTACATTCTTCTTCTAACGTAATCCTACTTGTAAAATTGTACAGACATCTTAAATTCAGATACGTAAAATCTGTTCAAATACTTTTTATAAGGCTGATGCTTTGTACAGCTTAATTGCCAGGGTACATTGTGTAATTTATATTGTATTGGGTCGAGTTATAAACAACATTCGCCATATGCATTAAACCAATATTCGGGTCACAATGTTGAGAATGTATAAAAGATTATTGTTATAAAATATCGTGGATCTGTACACATTTGAAAAAAGTATCACGCAAGTTACTTATGACTGGATCTAAAAAAGGTATGAATTTATAGTATCCGGTGAATGATAATGCACATAAATTAGTGGACTGCGGATTTTATGCATTTACGATATATAATCGTAATGTAATCGATAGCATTCATTTCTAAACAGAAACACTTATAATCTTGTATATGTAATTAGTAATTAGTAACAGAGTAATGATTCAAACAATAAGTGCACAAGAATAATTCATACTCTTACTAGCAACAACTTGAACGAATGTATTTCATCATAATATTGTTCTAATAGTGAAAATTCTAATAGTCAACGTGTTAATTAAGCGAAACAAATTTCCATTTGATTCCAGCCTCTGCAAAGTAGTCCACGAAGATATCATGTAACATCCGCAGTCTAATCATAAAATATCAACGTGTCGGTTACGTGTATAAATAATCAATTGTATACAACGATTGTCTAGATTTGTTACATCCCGAAAGATTTTCACATCGTCAAATATAATTTAATAAAGAAATTCTTCTATTTTGTTCGATAAATCGTCGGTCCCGTTTGTTAATCCGTAACATAGATTTATCTGAGCTTTTTCGCAGCGGAAAACAAATTTTGGCGCCGTTATCCTTCTTTGGCATCAAAGTGTGCAGGGAAGCCTCGTGTTACCAGTCGATAACATTATCAGTGACAGAGCTATATTACAGAAGAAACATGGCACCTTTTACAATCACTTGAAATGTCAAACTGTTGAGTGGACCTGGTCGGAAAAGTGCGCTTTAAGTGTCACGACGAACATCGTCGTTTGGAGGAATATATCATCTGCAACGAATCATTGGAATAGTTTCAACGTGAAACGGTGGATATACGAATTCGTCAAGGTATACGGGAAAGCAATAACCTTGAAGAATGGACGAAACATATTTTGATGAAGGGCCAGCGGGAAATTTTGAAACGGCCACTCTGGAGATCACCAAGGATTCTGATGGAAATGAACTGAATAACTCTGCACCTGGTGGTAATTGCCCTACCGATTTATCCACTGCACGTAATTTATACTCTGGAGGCAACACTATACATATATAGATTATTAAGGATCACGTAGAAATGTTGAGTTTCGCAGTATATTTTTACAGGATAAAATTATGAGAATGAAATTTACACGAAAATTAATTTTATTCTTCAAGGATTTTAATGATATATAGTATATGCCGTATATTTTGCATACATGTGTATATGTACCTGCATATTTGCATATATCTTACACGCAGATACATTGACGAACTAACAATAAATAATCATAATTTTTATGATTCACATATTTATAAGCGATCAACAATGGAAAGAATGACAGAGAGAACCGGAGCAACATTCCAACTCAAATTGCAACATCGATGGATATTTCCAATATTCCATTCAAGCATATAGACATCCATTCTTTCTTCTCGGATAGGAATGAAGTTGTGGAGAGGGCTATGCATGATTGTCAAGAGAGTTTAATAAATGAAGAAGAGAAGGACATTGCTGGAAGTTGGCTCCTAACAGAGTAACAAGTTCTTCTATAGAAATTTTGATAAAGTGTTTTATCAATTACATGTTCAAAAATAATGTTTACAGGATAAGTCTGTGGGATACAGAGAAGGAACGATTGGTGCTCCTCACCAAGAAAGCTATTTATACAATAAAATATGATTTTATTTCCTTAAAGATTCTAGAGTATAATCGAATACCCTTATCACAAATTGATACAATGGTGTCTGGTGAACTAATCTATCCATCTGCATCTTTAGCTCCGTAAGTATTATAATTTTTTTGAAAGTGACATTTCTCTATTATTCCATAGGTAGTAAAACATGGATAGAACACGAACATAAGATACAGTCCCATAAATTTATGAACAAATGCATTTGACAATTTTTAGACGATTAAGTGGATTGGCTGAGGGTGTGTCTTCATTGTTTCATTGTGCAGTTCGTCAAGAGTGGTCTCCACTTACCTCTTGTTCTGGACTTGCACAATTTGAACCTAGGTACTTTAAACTGTTCTACAGAGGGACTTATTTCTCTGACGACCCTCTTATTTTAAGAATAAGTTGCTTTATATTCTTCAGTTGTCAGATCCGTGATGTATTTACCCTACACTATAAATATGCATTCATCCGAAATTATAGATTTGGTTATCGAATGCACAGAATTTTCTACCTTTGCACGAAACATTTTGTTTTAATTCCGCTGAAGTCAGCATGTTATTGTAGTCTATTGAAAAAGCTACAGATATACTTGCTTGAAGTTATTGCATTGGCTAGTAACATTTTACTCCTTTCGGTAACATTGATGTGCCTTGGTGTATGGGTAGTTCCAGACATTTGATAAGCCATACTCTCCTTTAAATTCCATTGAAATTAACTGTCCAGAAAAAGATCCATGTCTGGGGTCAGACTGATGTGGAACAAGGGTGGTCCATTGCCATTAAGTAAGAAATGGAACCCATTTGCAAAAAACATACCGTGGCTCACGTATGCTAGTCATCCATTATTTTGGTATAAAGGTAAATTTATATCTGGTATTCCCTGGTAATTGTTTATGTTAGCATAATTTTCATTACAATTCTTTGTAGGCTCAGAAGCGGAAAAAGCAAAATTCGACGTTGAGGGTTTACATTCAACAATTGTAAGCTTATTGCCGGTAGAATCTACCGTTAGAACTGGGCCTATTATTATAGAAAATTACTGTGGTCTAGGCGCTTTGGTTCACAATAGAAATGGATTAGGTTTTTTTAAGATTCGGGGTAAAATCAGCTTTTAAGTTTAACGTTTCCCTTTCGAGTTTATTGCAATGATTCCGCTTTCAATTTTCAAATTCCTATGTACATCGATTTATAACAATTTACAGTATTTACTAAGAAGTGTCAAGACTTATAACGATACGTAAACGTAATTTATAACAATCGAATACTTGAACAGATAAGTATCTGTTCTTATTTTACTCTTCTGCATTATTGCAAACTGTAGAAGTATACACACACACAGTGTATATTCTCTGTTAACACTTTCAACTGTAAATCGTATATGTATACGTTCCAAGTAGCTATATTCTCTATACGTATTTTTACTCAGTACCTGGCTGATAGAAAACTAATAAGAATAATAAGTGCATACGCATGTCACATTAGAATAATTAACATATCTTCTATGCATAAGTAACTGTGTTTTATAGTTCTATATGAAGATTGTGATTAATCTTGTTTATGATAGTTAATAAAAATTCTACAGATACAAAAGCGATGTTAGCTTCATAAATTAAATATGCATATTTAAATTTTTTAATCGATCTGCTCGCCATCTAGTAAGAGGAAAGACGAACTAATCGGCTAATAGCTTCAACGTTTTACCGTAGATGGCGCCACCAGGGGTTTCCAACGAAATGTAGTAAATCCTCGATGATTGTTCGAAGGCTTCTCAGTTGTTTATAGTAAATCTTTCATTAAACTTGTAGCCATAACTTTATAACAGGCAATAAACAAAATTTGACTTTACAGGTTCGGCTGACTGGGAATGCTCCGAAGTGGACCATAGTGCGTCCACTCATCGAGATATTTACTATAATGCAATAGGGAAGGAAATTGTTTTTCGTCCAAATTCTACGATGGCGTCACCTGTCGGCGGTCAGCTTAACTGTGTAATCGGCTAGCATACGCATGCAGAAAAAAAAACAAGGTCACAATATATATGCATGTAGTCGGGATAACCATCCCACTCACGAGTACATTTCAGGTGTTGTTAGTTAGCAATCATGTAGCGAGGTGATCGATTCGTGGTAAAGGTCAGTGGTCGTCCGTCGACTTACTTGAATAATTCAAGGGGAACGGGACCTTAAAGTATACGTGTACTTACTTGTACATATCGTCGCATATTGCGTACATATATTTATGTACATACACGTATGTACATTTGCAAGGTGAACGATTACGATTCGCAAGCGACGGTGTGCCGATAAGTGTGCGCCTTAAAGGAAGGGGATAGGAGAAGTGTGTTGTCACGGCCAGCGCACAGATGACTCCACCAATTTCGGTGATTTGAGGCGCGGCGGCGGCGCAGGCTGTGTGTGTGCTTTTGCATTCGCATGCATCACCGTTCCCAGGGTATATTCCATTCGATCGAAAAATGTGTCTTCCGCTATACTCGAGTGCGGCTCGGCGCACTGTTTTCGCGTACGTTCGCCTCTGAACTATTATCCGGCATCCCGGTGTTACTTTTCCCCGTATCGATATATATATATATATATATATATACATATATATATACATATGTAATATATACCGTGCGAGTTTTATGGGCCGTGATCAACTCTGAAACCCCATCGTTGATTCCCTGGCCCGCGGATGGTCATCGTGCCTGGCGAACTCATCCGATTCCCATCGATTGTATTTATAGTGTCTCCCGGTTTATTTTCGCGTTCGGTTCCCGTGGGAAAAAGATGCGGCTATCCACAGGCTGACAGCGTTTCCTTGTAATCTGTAAGTCCCGTTTTATTAAAAAACACAGTCGGGGAATACCGTGGAGAAAAAGTAAGGTCTTATTTGCATGTATTTGACTCTGATGTGTGGGTGTGCGAGTCTATTAAATATATATATACATATATATGTGTATATATATATATACATATATGCACATATACGTGTGTATATGGAATATGCAAGTTTTATCACCTTTTATTTCTCAGTTTCTATTCCCGTGTGCCTATAACCATGCGAAATCATTCGGAATCGTTGACGGCATTCATCCACAATGTGCAAGCAAACACGTAATCAGACCTGTGCACCGCAAAGAGGTGTTATTCTTAGCGTGAAAACGTTGTAACGTTAGAACTCGTGGGACGTTTTTACCTGCGCTAAATTCATTTTGCTCCCGAGCTGAGAGAGAGACCCACCAAGCCGGGTATTTGTCAACCTCATTGCTCGGTGATAGTGTGCGGGATTTAATCAGTACTTAAACAATACCGTTATTTCGTTTATATTCGCCGGAATATTATGTTGATTCTCTAGTAATTTTTCATTGTTTACAGTGTATAACCGACCATTAAGACACGGACTCGGAGAGGAATGCAAAATTGAGTTTCTGGTAAAAGGATTCTAGTATGTGTGTGCGTGTGTGTGTGTGTGGTGTGTGTAGAATTACAGTTCTTATCTGTATGATAAGGAGTGGCCTTTCGTGCGGTTACATCCTGCCGTATTGGTTCACCTGATTGTTCGAATGTAATGTACAAATAATTATTGGCATATATGTACAATACTTGGGTTGTGTAATTGACTCGGTGTCCATTGTTACAGTTACATTAACAAGTTTCTTTATAACAGTCAATAAAATGATTCCGATACGTGTACAGTTAAATATCATTTCTGAAAAAGTTATGATTCTTATCTCTGATAAGAAGCAGCCTTCTATACAGTTATACCATGTTTAATGGTTTGTTTTAACATTTAATTATAGGGTACCAATAACTATTAGTCTATATGTAAAGTACTCGGTTGCATAATAGACAGTTGGTGTCTAATGTTACGAATGAGTTAACAGGTCTCCTTACAGGCAGTGAGAAAGTGAGTCCTTTTGGTACAATACAATATTGTCGTGTGATAAAACCAGACTGTAGAATAACAAACAGAACTTTGAATGAGAAATCTAAAACATTTCCAGTTAAAACCTGGCGTGAGACCAGCCGGAAAGCAAGAATATTCAATGATATTGAAAGGATTAACGAGTCTCCCTGCAGTGTTTTAACTCAAATGCTTTGTAAACGTAATCATTTTATCATTTGTATAATACGTCCATTGGTAATTGTGCATTAATCATGCTTAAAACAAAACATGCTCACAGTCTTCTCGCTCTAGCGTATGTCCCTTTGTCCTTTAGTGTGGTGGTTTGTCTTCTTGTCGCGGTGAGGGACGTGGATCTGCCTAGTTGCCGGTATCGAAGCGAAAAGTGTGTATTAAAACAGAGAGAAAAGCAAAATGGAGTCTGCTATAACTGGACGTAGGCGGACTGCCGCGAGACATTCAGCAGAGGATCAGGCTCTTGATCAGATAGTGAAGGAGGTATGGGCTGATTATTTTACAAGTATGGAACACAATGGAATTCGTAACCAAAGAGATAGAAAATGAAAACATTTGTCTTTCGCGAACCTCGTGACGATAAGAAATAAATTTCTTCTATAAGGAGCATATTAACATACGCAGAATCAAATTAATATCTGTCGCTGTATGTATGCTTGATTTTTGTGCTTACATGTATGCATGGTTGTGTTGGGTTCGGGGATTACATTTTGTTTGCGAATAAGTTCACCTGAGAATAAGAATATGTAGGGAACAAAAGGAAGTTACCCGCAATATTAATAAATAGGCAAAGTATTGTATATATTATAAACTATGTCCATTAATCAGACCTAAGAAGAAAGTAAGTATTCGCTTTGTGCTAATGCGTACACATGTTTTCATAGAAGCTCTAACGAGTCACACTTGTTGATCTATTTATGAAAGTGTGTTTCCATATAATGTGTCGAACGTTGTTAACAATAAAATTGAACGTGTGAATATGTTTTTGGTAACAGGATGGATTTTCCGTACATACTTTCAGGCAGAAGCTAGATTAGCCGCGACGAGACAGAGAAGAGCCGAAGCAAGAGTGATACGAATGCGTGAATTGGAAAGACTACAGAAAGAGGCAGAGGAGACTGCGGATAGGGTTTACGATATGTGTTCAGGTATGGATTTAACAAGAGTTGCACAAAAGCAAATTCTATTGAGAAATGGTACAAATTTGTTTCCTCTTAATCGTTTCAGCTGACGTTAATAGAACAATGAGAGTAACTCCAGACTCTGTGAGGACGACGCGTCTCCTTACGAATTCAAATAATTTCCAATCCAGTCGTAGATCTTCTGAAGACTCTCTGGAAGATGCTGGCCTAAGCAGAGATCTCAGGGTACTGATTTTTCCATCTTTTTTAAAAATATTCTTTATACAATCAAAGTGTTTCGTACAATTTATCGGTATCATTGCAGTTAGAGCTAAAAGAGTTCGAGGAGAAGTTTCGGAAAGCTATGATAGCTAATGCTCAGTTAGACAACGAGAAGTCTTCTTACGCCTATCAGGTGGATTTGTTGAAAGACAAATTGGAGGAATTGGAAGAAACGGTTGCGCAACTTCGCAGAGAGCTCAGGGAGAAGAATCGGGAGTCCGAGCAGTTGAAAAGAATCAGTCAGAGATTGAAGGAGGATTTAGATATATGCCATGCACAATTATTAGAAAGAGATACGCTTATACAAGTATGTACACATGTTTGCATCAAACATTGTAGACTGTCTCTTGTTATTACTATTGTATTAGAATTAAGCCAGAATGTAACCATTCTAGTGTATCAATTCGAAAAATCGACTCATTCTAGGAAAATGGTTTAGTTATTATCGACGACGAGGAGGGGAGTGAGAACGAAGATAACGATGTTGAAAACGGTCCACGTCCAAGACGAAGAGTACTAGTCAGTACAGAAGCAGCGGAATTGTTGCAGAATGCTGGAAAGGGTTCATTAGGTATTCGACTAAAAGTGACAATCTAATAGGAGTTATATTCTGTCTCGAAAAAATAATAATAATACAACACTGTCTCTCTGAATATTGCAGATGTTCGGCTGAGAAAATTCGCTTCTGAAAAGAAGGAATTACAAGATGAAATACGACATTTAAGATTGGAGCTGGAGGAGTCCAGGAATCGTATTAGGTCCGAAAAATCGCCTGGTTCAGTATTAGGTAAATATTTCCGCAACGTATACACGCATGTTGTCTACCTCAAATATCAAATTTCGTTTCGATTTTGAGCAACGTGATGTTATTCCAACAGGTTGTTTATCAGATTCCGAGGATGTGCAACGAGAAGCAAACAAACTTCTAGCCGATTATAAATTCAAGCTGCAGAAAGCGGAGCAGGATATGTCGACTTTACAGGCAACGGTGGCCAGGCTAGAGAGTCAAGTGATACGGTACAAGTCAGCGGCGGAAGCGTCCGAAAAAGCGGAAGACGAATTGAAAGTGGAAAAGAGAAAACTTCAAAGAGAAGTCAGAAAACGTTCCTTTTTGTTTTTGCCGTTATAATTAGTCTGTGGAGTTCCAAAGATCGTGCAGGAATCAATCTTGTGGTATTTTTTTTTTTTTTTTTACAGGTCAGAGAGACGCAGGGTCGGGTGGAGGAATTAGAGACGGCGAATTCTCATCTACAGAGGCGATTGGATAAGCTTAAAAACGCAAAGTCGGCCCTGTTGAAAGAGCTCTGACGAGACGAATTCTTCGGACCAGTAGAATGAGTCTGCCATTTTCTTTTTTTGTTCTCTGTTCTGCGAAAAACCGTGTGCCGATGTTGCCTCGACATAAAGTAACTACTTAACACTTCGAATATAATTTATACGACCGCAAAACGACGCATATATATAGTATCGTTACACGATTTTTAACTAATTCTATGTACACGATATAACGCAGGCACGAGGTCACAGAATGTTCACCTGAGACGTCGCGCCGGCGTACGTAATATGCGCAAGAAACAGAAATAGGTAACAGTCATTTTCGATGCATTTGAGAAGCGTTGAATTTGTAAGCAGTGGTGAAGTCGATTCGTAATTTGTACATTATTTGGAGAGACAAGCTGGCTTGTACATCATAACGTGTACAGATGTGTTCTCTACATGCTTCTGCTAAGTCCATCCTCCCCCCCTTTAAAAAAAAAGACAACAAGGAAATGTCGATATAGGCAACGTCGAGTAAAACAGTAACGGATACATGTTTCCAATTAAGACAAATAAAAACAGTTGCAATCGAATGATGTACACGTCAGCGAGAAAAGTAATTATACGGATAAGTGTAATTTGTTTTTACATCGAATAATTTATAAATATATTTCTAAAGATTACGAGATATTTATAACTTCTATTAAGAAACACGTTATAGTTAAAAAAAAAAAAACTAGACACGAAATCGACGATGTTCGTTTTCTATTTATCTGAATGGCGAACACCGGGAGGATTTGATAAACATTTTTAATTTTATAACCATATTTGTTACGCTGAGATGAACCGATGTCAGAATTTTTGTATGAAAAAAAAGTGCAAACAATTTCTGAAGTTTCTTCGCTGCTAATCGTATCGCCAGGGAGGAGATGTTCAGTGTTCAAAACTTTACAAAGGGTTTTAAAAAGGTATGGTCACTCGGACTAAAAAAAGAAATGTTTATATGAGATTAAAAAAATTTATTGTAAGGCGATTTAATAAAAAAAACAAAATATCAGTGAAATAATTATTACAAATCGGTCGTGTTCCTCCTGTCATGGAGTTTTATTGTTCGAAAGTGAATTCCTTGATATATTTCAAACGAATGTGTGTGTCCATATTCGTAAATTGTACGTATATGTAATAAGAACAATTTTTAAACAATTACATGCAACGTACAAGTAACTTAAGAAGATAAATATTGTTTTATGCAAACGCAAAGAAATCCTAGAAAATACGAGAGATATATTTATATATATATAGACCCAAAAAGCCTCATTGCACTATCCTATACAGGGTGTTCATTCATATTGTTACTATTCCATCCATTTCCCATGAATAGAAAGCACATAAAATTACTCACCAAAAAAAAAAATCAAAGATAATGAAGCATTCATATATTCATTCGTTACAGAACACCCTGTATAAAAAGAGTACCTTGTAGCAGTAATATATGTGAACGTTCATATACTTTCTATCCTTAACGAAGTATCGTCTAACACATAATATGTTCTGGTATAAAAATATGCTGGCAATAGTATTCAGTGCAATTTGAAACTGTACAGGGAAATAGATTGAAAAGTTACGATGTGCTTTTCAATTTGCTCGCATGCGCCCACTTCGGATCTTTCGGGCTGGTCGGTGGCTTAGTGGATTTTAATACGACCACAGGTTTGTAGACTGGCATCGGTGTCGCCTTCACTTCCGTCAGTTTTCGTAGTTCCGCTCTTTCGAATTTTTCTTTTAATAATCGTTTTTTCTCCTCTTCCCGTCGTTTCGCTTCCAGCTCTTGCTCCCGTTTCTTCAGTTTTTCATCGAACTCGCATCGTTCCTTTGCTCTCTTATCGGTATTCAATTCAAATACAACGGATTTCCTTTGATTAATGGTCTGTTTCTCGTTGTCGTTCACATTATCCGTACTTTCAACCGATTTCATATGTTTCTCGTCGTTTACAATTTGCTGTTTCGTTTCCTTCTTATTAGTATCATTAACGACGATTATATTCGGTTGTTTGTTCTCTTGATCGGCACTGTTTGTCATTTTCTTCGTGACGTTCTTCTCTTTGGACAAACCGTGCACCACCACCGGCTTGAAAGTCGGCGCTGGACTGGCGTGAAACACCCTCACCTTTTTACTATTCTCCTGCATTTGCTTGACCAGCTCTTCCTTCTTCTTAGCAAGACTCTTGTCCCGTTCAGCGAAGCTGAAGGGACACGGTGCCACCGTTCGTTTCTTTATAATCGGTTCCTTGACCGGATTCAGTGGCTTGGTGAATTTCGGTATCGGTCTCGCGTGAAACTCCGTCTTTAGTTTACTGTATTCCTGGACCTGCAAGCTCTTCAGTTTCTCCACCCTCTTCGACTGGAATTCTTTGTTGCGTGCCTCGAAACAGAACGGTAGAATGCTTTTCGTGGGTCTCGATGCAGTATCCGTGGACTGTTTAACGTCCTCTTTCTTGGAGATACTAGAGGCACTCGTGGAACGGCTGATCGACGTGCTACCATGACGATTCTGTTCTTTGTGCTCTTTTCTAGCGACACTCGAGGCACTAATGGAACGATCGATCGGTACCGTGTTCCTATGACCCTGGTCTTTAAACTCTTTTTTAACAGTGGATGCACTGGTGGAACGATTCAAGGACACAGTGCTCTTACGAGCTTGTTCCTTACCGGTTTTCTGGGTCACGTTCGAGGCGCTGACGGAACGGCTGAGCTGTACGGTGCTTTTATGAGTATGTTTCTTATCATCCGGTTCGTTTATTCCTGGAACCATCGTGTGCCGTGTTTTCTTCGGCTTCGACAGCTTAAACTCCTCCGTGACGGTGGAGGGTTTCTTGGCGACTTTCTTCAGCAAGGACGGTCCCTTCAAAATGTTAACCGGTACTGGATTTGCTTTTATCTGATGCTTCCTCATTTCCTGCAGTTCCATGGCCTCACGTTCTTCTTTGGTCATTACATTCGTGTGCCTGACTCTCTGCTTGCACCTCAACGCAGGCGACACCGCGACGGTCAACTTCAACGGTGATCGTTTCAATTTTATCAATGGGCCAGGCTTCATGGTTTTGTTGCTGGTTGTACGAAACCGTTGAGGTGTACCGTTCTGAAACTTGGAGATTGCCTCAGCCATACTTACGAACTGATTCGAACGCCTGTGGTACTTCATCAGACTTCGCCTGCGATATTGACATGTGAGCACCTTGGGCTGCGATCGTTTCGCTTTGAACAGATCGGACTGTCTTCGTTGCGTTTTAACAACTTTGTAGGATAATCTCTCGTCCGTCTCGGGATCCTCCGTGCATTCGGTGATCTTCGAATATTCGGTCGGTTCAATCTTTACCTTTGTCGGGGCCGTTTGTCTAGAAGTTTTTGCTGGTGATTTACGAAAGTTGGTGCTCTTCATTTCCCTCAGACGAGCACTTTTTCTGATCCTTTCTCTTGCTGCGGTTAGCCTCTGTGGTTCTGATGTTGACTTCAATGCAGATGTTAAGTCAGTTACAGAGACATTCCATGTGTCGTAGAGATTACTGAACTTGGAGGTTTGCCTTTCCTTTTTCAAAATGTCGTTGTTCGTCCCTTCTGCAGGTTGCTTTTTATTATCGTGTGGTATGAAGTATGCTACATTGGGACATGCTTCTTTAACAGATTCTAAGCTGTCATCGAAATAGCTTTCCTCAACTGAAGACTTCTCCAGGTTTTCCTCTTTACACAATATGGGTACATCAACTTTTGAGTTGGTCTTTGAGTATATCTGAGTACTGTGTACCTCGTGTTCTAGCTCAAAATAATTATCGGAAGGCAATTGTGGGCTGCTCGTAAAGTCTGCCCATTGTGGAGCACAACAATTGTCCATCATATTGAAATGTAATCGATCGATTAAAATTCTTTAGGAGACCTTACTGTGGACTTTTAGAAACCAAGTAACTTGCAAACATAATCTGCAAAGAGAAATAAATGTAAATTACTATTGTACTCATTGGGGTTTACTCAGCAAAACTTTTAAAAACCTATAATTAATAACCAGAAGCACGGATTAAATGAAATTGTTGGATTGTTAAATCGCTAAATGAATTTGTTAATAGCATGTAAAATATGTTTCTTCGGTCCTTCAAGTGTGTTCCACTTTGAGCGTATGTAATAATTGAAATATTTGTTACATATTGATTAATTCTTAAAGCATCATTGTCTGAAGATTCCTATTTAAGATGGTATATCCACCAAACAGATAAGTGATGATCGTATTGAATTATATTGCTTTAGATTCAACTCTCGCAAAAGAAGCATACAACGCATGAGACGACTTAATTACTAATAATTTCGTTTTTAATTTGCACTTAAACGAAAATTACAACGCTTCCTGACAACAAGCATCGACAACAAAAAGCCAATTAATATGTATTCAGGTAGAAAAGAGTTAAATTGAAAGTTTCTACTCACAATATACACAGTCGATTTTACACATACCACTGAACTGCGAATGCAGTAAATAAAGTTTGCTCAATTTCCACAGTTTCTTGTTATTAATAATTCGTTCCGTTCGATAGTTTTGTCACAATCTTCCGGACAGAGCTGTTGGATGCAAGGTAAACAGGTTTGGTTAAAATATTTACTCTCTGAAGAGAGAAACAGCTTGCCATCGGTTAATTTGTACGTTGACGGATTTGAGTTTTGAAATTTGTACAAACGTTCATTCGATTGGTTGATGAAAACTGTATGCATACTGGAGGAATTAAATGTCACTAGATCTTTTTCTAGTGAAATGCACCGTTTTATAGGACATTTCTCGATGTAGTTGCCGGCGCTGAGTTGAAATTCCTGATTCAAAAATGGGAGGTGCACGTATAAAGTTCATTGTAGGTAAATATTAATAATATTTCTAGGCTTAATTTTTGAAATAATCAAATTTGAAGTTTCATCTAAAATGCGTGTATTCGTTTCAGCAATAACTAGAAACTGAATGCAATAGACAGACAAGTTAAGCAAATCCTACTAAAGTTTCTGTATGTCCAAATAATTTGCAAATTCGATTATTTCGAAAACGAAGCATCGTCGAAAAAAACTTTACCTTACAATTTCGACTTATTTTTGCATCTAGAATAGCCTTCTGTTCACTAGTACCATCCTTATGACCGCACCCTGAACACAGGTATAACGCAGCTATGGTTTCAAGTACAAATATGTTACTGCGAATAAATAATTATTGGAAAATGAGGTGAGTGTATTGAGTTTAGTGATAGTAAAAATGAGTTCAGTGAAGAAATCGATAATCAGGCAATTGTAATGTGCTCAAAACATGGTAGAAAGCATAAACATTACTGGCTGCATCTGAAAGCTTTATAATTATGTAATTGGATAGTGTATTGTGTTAACCCTTTCAGGATTTTTAAGCAGCTCTGAATGAGGAACATCGGAAGTCACTCGCACCGCTCGACGGTACCTTCGGTCACCGCTAGCGGTGCAATCGCTCACCGCGTTCTCGCAAGACTTTTTATACTGTGTAGTGTATAAGAGAGCTGTTAAACAGTGTTCAGACATCGCTTCTCGGCCTTATGGCTAAGATCAAAGTGTAGTATCTGTTCTTATCAGCTTAATATCTGATACACTCTCCATTGGAGAGTCAGAATATTAATCTGATTTTTGGAAATCGACGGAGCGTTTGGGGCTTGCTCCACCTCTGTCACGAGTCGGCCCGGCATTGCAGTGCCGCTGGGATCGGCTCAATAAACCACTTGGAAACATAAAAATTTCTTCCTATCTATTTCAACAATTCTCTTTAGTGTTGAAATAAAAAAAATCAAAAAATTTTTCACTTCGATCTCACTTCACCCCCAATACTCCACACCCCTTTATGTTTTTACTTCAGGCAATCGTGTGGTGGGACGGAACACCACAGGGATTGTATGAAGAAAACAAAGGAGAGCCAGGCAAAGCACAGTTTATATAACTTTATTTCAAACACTTTTTATGTAGTGTTGCATTGCAATAATCGTGAAATTTTTTTAGATCTGACGCGTCTGAACAACCACCCATCTATTCTACTTCAATCAAAGTGGGAACTATTGTGAGGAAACGAAGGAGGTAAGAGGCAACACTCCATCCTCCCTTATCTGTCAGCCCAATCTGACAGTGGTATGGGTGGCTCAGTATATAATATAATATTATACCATCTGGTAACTGGCTTTGTCACATTCCTTACCGGCATAACAGCTGATTCGGTTTGAACTCTGGAGTGAATGACCATAACAACTGATTGGATTTGAACTCTGGGATCAACGACCATTGAACACAATTTCTTCCAGACTTTTCCCACGTTTATTCAATTTCTGTACAGAATCGTACCAAACGATACACATATTCGACCGGACAATATCATATTTCGTTTCACGAAAATCGCGTACAGGTGTTTCAGTTGGACGTCAGAAGATTCTTCCTGTGCCTCTCCATAAGACTCACAAGCCTATTGTACAACATGGTATCGACATTCTTTGCCCACATGAAGTCCAGGTGCGTGAACCATTTATACGGAACCAGGAATCTCTCAGCGTTCGGCATCATGTTGTACAACTTGTTTATGTCCTGTAAGGATACCCAGTAAAACAATTATAATAACTCACATTACATTCTATAATAACGAAAAAAGTACGAATTATTCTTAAAAATTACGACTTTCTAGGGACACGAACCTTAACGCTGACAAATTCGTCGTTGCTGCCGTAGAATATGTAAACGGGCATCTTGATTCTGTCAAGATTATACTTTGGAGGACGTATGTGACCGTATTGTTTCATATTACCGATAAGTCCATGATCGTACTGTGCGAAGTTTCCTGAAAGAGGGACGAGCAACAAATTTCAAACCTATCGTCATCGTAAAGCACTGTATGTATACTAAAATATACATATATTTCTTCAGACAATAAATCAAATAAAACGTCATTTCCACTACTGACCGGAGTTTATCAGTTGCGCATAATGTACAAACTGTCGTGTACCCGCGCCAGCAGGACTGTACTGCAGGATTTCCGGTATGAGTGTCTATGGAAAAAAAAATTCAGTTCTCTCAATTGGAACAACTATAATGGGATATTATCGTCGAGTAAAACTTGACCATTACCGTGTTCAACTGCTTGTCATTTTTACCAGCAATGAGGATTAACAAGCTAGAGCACAGTTTACCTATAATTGGATCGCTGCACATCTTACCGGCTATAGTCTGCAATAATTTGCCTGATGGCTGAAACTCGTGCATGCCGATCAACGAGGCGAGTTCCTGTAATTATGATGTATTTACTGAATTATAATATATTCCATTCTTCGAACGGGAATAATTGTCCCAGATAGCACACGACGTCTAATGACGCCTTGAACGTCTAAAATAGCCGTAAAATGTGCGTATTCAGGGCGTCATGTGACTATTAATCGGAACTGAATTTTACGTTAAGGTTATTAGCATGGGGCGCCAAAAGTTGTATGAAAGGGTTCGTCGTATGGGACATGAACGATGCCGGTGCCAACGGAAAGGCCGCCTCAAGTTTCTCTTGATACTCCGGCCGTTCGCTGGCCATCACCAAGAACGAGGTGCCACCTTGACTGAAGCCGATATACAGAATTTTCTTCTGTTTGGTAACGTTCAGAATCCCGTCGATCATCGCTGGAAGATCGTAAAACCCGATCTCGTGCCAGCTGGGGACAGAAAGCGTCGAAAGTAATGTTAGGCAAGTGTTGGTTTTACCATTAAATCACAGGTCGTACCTGAACATCCAGTAGCGTGAATCCTTGGTGGTCAGCCACTTGTGGTTCCTCGAATACCTGGTGCCACGTATGCTGGCCAGCCAGACATCGTAGCCCCAGTCGGCCAGTATGTAGCCTGAAATTCATAACAATCCCACCTGAACAGAAGCCCTTTTTATCTTCAAACGTTTTCAGTTGGACGTACCCAAACTCTTCTCTGGGATTGCCACCACCCAGCCAGCGGAGCAGTCCAACAGACCATGGACCACCAACACAGCTGGTTTGTTGTCTGCTCGAGGGCTCTTACGGGATCCCATGATCCTGTGCATCTGCAGAATGTAGCCATCCTCGGTGACAACCTCGTGAGTCTCGGCGAAGTATCCCAATGACTCTGCACGTTGCACCTGTACAGAGTGAGAAATAGAACTGTTACTGTTTATCGAATGCCATTAGATTCCACACCTCTGATTTTGCCTATCCTCTATCTTGAGTTATTTGTCGCTTGTGAGAGGTTTCTGGAGTCTCAAGAAACCATCGAATGGTACATGTCTTCACCAGATTATTCGTGATTTATCTTCAGGTAAATTTCAAAATATTATTTTCCCCTCCAAGGAGGTAGGGGAAAAATCCAATTGTTCCCCTCTAGAGGGATAAGTACTCCCTGGCTATGTCTATGCATTACAGGGTGATCAGTGAAAATTTACTCACAGGCGTTGGAGCGGTTCCAAGGGGTTCCTGATCGAGATCCTCGAACTCGAAGTGAAATTGATCGTACCCATAGTTATCCTGGAGGGACACCCCCAGTATAACCGGCACAACGCAGAGAAGAGGAATTAGAGCGAGCATTGTTGCATACGGCTCTCCGGAGAATAATGTGATCCAATGGGATCGGCCTTATTATATAACGGATTCTTCATGAAGATTACAAATTTATTTTCGAACAATACAGGATCACAGGCTTATCAATAGTAATCCATTGAGGAATTGCCAATCGTGTGACGACCGGATTAGACAGATAATCGGCGATAAATTATCATCATTGTTGAGGACGCGGTTTTCGATAACCAGGTGTTGTGCATTCCATATGAAAATTGCCAGTATTTGGGTACGAATAACGCACGTGACTTTAGTGACCTTATTTTTCTTCCGAAACTAGTTGGATTTCGGAGATTAGCATCCAGATACGCCATTTTGATTCTGGGAATAGAGCCGCTGGCTTAAATTGGCGGATATAGTTTCAACTTGAGATAATTCAGAAAACCCATTCCTTACATTTGAACCAGTGATACTAATAGTCGACGTAACTTTATCCTATACGACAAAGAAAGGATTCGTTGTTAATTAATTTGTAAAAGTTAGTCAATGAATTTTGATTGTTTTATAAAATCGAAGTAACATTTCAGAGACATTCAACATCCTGTAAAACATTTTTGTACTGAATTTCAATTTCGATGAATTTCCAACTTCGATGGGACAGATGACCTGGGACAGGTCATAGAGCGAAGTCATAAAGTGGAGAACTTGTCTATCCGGTTTGCAGTGTCTTGGGTGGGAAGGGGAAAATGTTAGCCTCTGCATAGATTGAACGTAACCCAAATAGCACATGACGCCTTGAAGACGGCTCAAAAGCGCCTCAGACCTAAAACAGCCGTAAAATCGGCGTTTTCAAGGCGTCATGTGCTATCTGGGAAGGCTCTCCCGACATTTCTGCAGTATTTCGACGGAGTATGTTGACTCAAATGATACTCAAGGAAAAAATCCGAGACCATAACAATACAAAATCTCCCCTGTCGCAGATAAATCACTTTTCGTATCTGTTTACAAAAACTGAACACCTATCGCATGAAGTAGTTATCACAATACAACGACTAGTATCATATTAATTATATGATAGCAGCTGCAAAAAATTTCATGATAATTGTACAATGGTCAGTAAAGTACCATTTATTGGCTAGAAAATTGTAATCGCTGCTGTTCGTCGAGCATGTCTGTGTTTGTTCATGTGAAACGCATCGAATATTACATCACATTCAGTGGTTGCAAAAGGGGGTCGCATAATCGTTTTGACCAAGTGAAAGTCTTTCGATCCGCGCACGTGCCCGTTTCATTTAGTCGGTTCCAACTAGAACGACCGCGCTTCATCCAGAGTATCATCGTTTAATGTGCCGATTATCATAATCCAAAAGTTTCTCGACTGTCGGCTGGTTAAGTAGACTACAGTAAAGAAGTGTAATAATTTATTACTAATAAAGTTTCGTGTCAGAAGTGTGTAAAATTAAAAAAAAAAGTTTTTTATTATAAAATTATTATTATTTATTATTATCAAATTCCGTCGTCCAAACACTTCTCTATTAGATGGAATATGGGAGGATCTACTGTATTTCTATCTGCAGACAGTTTTTTCTTCTGTGTACAAGATCTATGATAATGTTTCTGGACTGCAATAATTAAAACGGCATAGATATATCTCGGATAACAAACTGTTACATCTTATCTTTTGAAGTAGATCCTCTTGACGTTAATACACTCGACACATCTGTGTGATAGAAAATCATTTTTGTTTTACAGTTCGTGGTTGGATGTGATTCGAAGCACTTGTCGCATTCTTCTAAAATGTCACTGATACTTTTTTCTTTTTCTAGACAAGATAAGTTTCGTTGCGATTGGCCATTGATTTTATCCGTCGGATTTTCATATCGTTTCCAAAGCGGAAATACATCATTTTAGAGACGTCAGGGACATGAAAAAGTTTGTTATCTGAAATGTCAGATTTATTGATCAAGAAAACCGCTGTACTCTATAACAACGTTAATTTATGAATCGATCGTTCAGTTTCGAAAAAATCAACATATTTTTTTACGTATTTACAGACATCAGTGAATCACTTGCACTAACGCCTCTACTGTTTTGATTACGGAAGGTATGTACAGGTGTAACGAAGAATTTTCATAGAGGGGTATAAAATTTTGATTTATTAATTTTTTTTCCCAATGTTATCGCACACTCCTATATAGAGCATAAAAAATCATTAAATTTTCAGGAAAAAAAATGCAGTTAAATTTGAACAAATGCTTCATTTTCCTCGTATTAATCATTCTGGGATCTACAGAGGCCATACGTTCAGGTAGGCAAATAAATTTCACGATAATTCATGAATTTTTCAAGATTCCCCGTTATTTTTAGCAAAGCTGTTGGCAATGAAAAACAGAGTGATGTTACGCAGGAAGGCAGTCACAAGGGACGATCTGAAACAGAAGGTCTGCTACGATCTGGTCGGCTGCTTCGTTGATCCTCCGCCACATTTGACCTTGAAACGACCTCCCCAGCATCCCAATGTGATTCAAACCAGATTTCTTTTGTATACACGTGCGAAACGTGACTCACCCGACGGTTTACAATACGGAGATGACTTTCGTTCTATTTCAAAATCGAAATTCGATGCGAAAAAGCCGCTGAAGGTAATCATACACGGTTACAAAGGGAGTGGAAGCGACGTTGGATCGATTCTTCTTGTACAAGCCCTTCTGGATATGGTGATGAAAGAGTCCGGATTAAAAATATTTAATGTCTCGATTGATAAAGCACTAAATATCGTTGAAATTCTTTCATCAGGATGACGTGAACGTCCTGGTGCTGGATTGGACAAGAGGCGCAGCGACGACGTATTCTGCTGCCGTGGCGAACACCGAGTTAGTTGGTCGGCAATTAGGCCTGGTGCTCCTGGATACCGTAAATTTAGGCACTCCACCTGAAAATATACACGTAATTGGCTTCAGTCTCGGCGCTCATATCGCCGGCTGCGCGTCAGAGATCCTGAAGAAAAATACTCTTCTTCTGGGTCGTATAACTGGTCTCGATCCCGCGTCGCCGTTCTTCAGGAATCATTTGCTCAGGGAAAAATCAAGGAAATTGGATGCCACTGACGCTCAACTGGTGGACGTGATTCATACGGATGGATCTGAGGACTTTGCTGACGGGTTTGGACTCCTAAAACCTCTTGGACACATTGATTTCTTTCCCAACGGCGGCAGGGAACAACCTGGCTGTAACGACGTAAAGAACTCTGTTGTTGTTAGTCACCTGAACGGTATTCCCCTTTTTTTTGTTACTGAGGAATTTATGGTATGCAAAGCAGTAGTAAATATTGACAGTATTACAGAGGATAGCTTGACAAAGGAACTCGCGTGTAGCCACTTGAGAGCATGGAGAGTATTCCTGGAAAGCGTAAGAACGGCCAATGAGTCCTGCAAGTTCACCGCATGGCCGTGTCCGAAAGGAAGAAATTCCTATATGAATGGAATGTGTTTTCCTATGGAGTCCACGTTCTGGAACCAGGAGATGGGTTACAAGGCTAATCAGGGCGCTTTGGGGATTTACTATTTGCCAACCAGAGAAGACAGTCCCCTTTGTGGTATAAATCATACACATAATCTTGAAACGAAACTGTATTTATATTGTAATATTGTTATTGTAATTCGTCCAGGTGAACCGTACAGAGCATCGGTCGCGATATCAGAGGATGCTACACGGACATCTGGAATGTTGTTCTTAAAAATAGGTGGTGGCAATTCGACAACAATTTTCAAGATTAGATGCCCGTAAGATGTACATTGATAGCGCAAGCGGTAATCTAAAGATACGGGAATAAGATGAATTGGCTGATTTGTGAAGCAAGATTGATATTTAAAATACACTGTATCATGTAGCTGGGTGTAAATAGTTTCGTGCATAATATTTGTTCAAGATTATCGGGCCGAAACAATAGGATGACATTTTACAATATCGCGGCGTTGGGATATCAATCATTTGCGGATAATCCGGAGACGATAGAAGCACGAGTCTGGTACCAGAGTGTTATGGATAAAACGCAAAACGATTCACGTAAACACGCTTATTCGGACATGCTCTTTGTAAACAAGCTTGCCCTTGAAGATCGAAAAGGAAATAGGCATGTAAACAGTCCTGTAAAGTTCTGTTATGGTATATTCAGGTATATAATTGTTTCACTCATTTCTCTGTCCTGATGTTCTATAGATGGCAGTATTGCAAACCGAACACCGCGGTGGATGAACGAGAAAACCTAATGATACTGCAACGCGAAAAATGCGATGTTTCCTGAAGAAATCCATTATTTAAATGGTTCAGTGGTTTCGTTCGATTTGTGGATTTCTTCTTCACATATTGGTGGATACTTCTCGTTTATTATATACACGCACTTGTGTGCAATTTATATAAAGTATAATATATAACGTTAAGATTCTGTAACTGATAAATCGAATTGTTATATGTCGAATGTCTGTTTTTTTACAGTTTTCGCGACTGTGCTCATAGACGAAATCCAATAGAGTTACTATTTTTTTACACTTATCGTGTCGCAGACAAAGATAAATGGAAATCAAATAAAGGTGTTATTAATCACACGATTCTTGAGCCATAAATTCTTAAAAATATTTT